TGGTTATGTGACAACCGTCATCTTTTGATTTGAGCAAACTGGGACATATGATGCCAATGTTTAATTCTGTATAAGTTATATATACTGACAAAACTGTTCCTTTTTTCCAATGGCCACTGACATTTCAATCATCCAATTGCCTGACGGAAACATGCTGTAGGCAGCCGATAGCATCTACTGTTTTGCAATGTGTGAGGACCAGTCAGTCAGTTTTAAGTTTATTTATACTCGGCGCCGGAATAACCATATGTCCGAGATTATAGCATCCTTGCCGGTTCACTAAGGTAGTCTCATCGGGGACGTCTTTGTCAAGCTGAATCTTCCTGATATCCCATTCTTCGTTCGTTGGTGGTAGAGGAGACGACAATACTGTCAAGGCATCATGTTCCTGACTGATGATAACAAAAACGGCTGTCATTAGCGCCAACCCTCCAGAGTTAGTCACGACAGGTCAACCAATCCCCTCTGGTACTTAAGATGACTTGACCTTGACCTGCCGTGTGCCTTCTCCGCGACGTGCACGCCTCTGGAGGGATTTGGAGAAGAAAGGAGTGAGGACGTCACTTGTCGCTGGCTTTCATAACTTGGTCAGAGGAGGTACAGTCAAACCTCATTCGCTCGAACTCAGAGGGCCTGCGCAAATTTGTTCGAGAGATCGGTAGTTCGAAGCAACCGAGATTGAACAATTATTATTCAGGCCTATGTTCATCATATAATAGAAGATTATAGTGCAACCTCGGTCAGCTCGAACTACCGATCTCTCAAACATATTTGTGCAGGCCCTCTGAGTTCGAGCGAATGAGGTTTGACTGTATTCACATGTCTTTTTTATACACATCGTATTTTGTTCTTAATTCATCTAACACCGTTCTCGAAAACTTACAGTCACGCAAGTAAATAAGACAGAAGGAGAGAGCGCCTGTCTTATGGCAATATTCACACAACAATTTAAGTTTTTACTATTTGCATATAGGGAAAATCAATGACCCCCTGGGGCGGGGCTAATTTTCACCCCAGGGCTTTTATTTGAACAAACTTGGTAGACACTCACTAGAAGATGTTTCTTGCTAAATATCTTAGCTCTAGCTCTTTGGGTTCTTTAAAAGAAGATTTTTTAAGTTTTTACTATATGCATATAGGGAAAATCAATGACCCCCTGGGGCGGGGCCAATTTTGACCCCAGGGCTTTTATTTGAACAAACTTGGTAGACACTCACTAGAAGATGTTTCATGCTAAATATCTAAGCTCTAGCTCTTAGGGTTTTTTAAAAGAAGATATTTAAAGTTTTTTCTTTCGGTTGCAATGGCAACCAGAGTTCTGTATGGAATTAAATTCTTTGAACAAATTTTAAAGGTGACCACCAAAGGAACATTCCTGTGAAGTTTGGATGAAATTGGCTTAGTGGTTTATGAGGAGATGTCATTTAAAGTAAAAGTTTACGGACGGACGGACGGACGACGGACAGACGCCGGACGAAAAGCGATCACAAAACCTCACTCTGTCACTTTGTGACAGGTGAGCTAAAAACTAGTAAACAACAAGGGTGCCATAGTCACAAAATACGCCCGTTTACGAAAGCTTTAGATGGAGATGGGGGCATTATGGATAAGTGTTATCTAGCAAGCAAGTTTTTATCCTTGGCACTGTGTTGTTAAATGAACCTTAAAACAAATCAGTAGGGAAGATAAAAAGTACATGTAATTGTAATTTAATAACTAAAAAAATTCTGATTTAAGATTTTATTCTAGGGAAATACATTTCATTACAATTCTTAATCTTTGAATGAGCTGAACTGATATTTACTTGAAAATTAAAATATAATTAAATTTCTATGAGAAAGTATTTACATTTGATAAGGTAATTACTGTATGATCTTTATGAACAAATACCAAGTCTACAGAACACCATAGTTATCACAGTTAAGAATCTTGACCAATGAATGAAACATGTGTAAATAAATGTTACATTCTTTAGAACATACTCAAGTCCAAGAAAGAGGATTATTTTATGCCCTTTGATTAAATTCTATTTTTAGAATTGAAAGTGAAAGTAGATCAAGGGGAGTAATTGTGTAAGTCATTTATGAACAAAGTAATAACTTTGTTGTTGCCCTTTGATTAAATTCTATTTACAAATCTGGATATTTCATCATCTTTAGTGACCTTGACCTTGTATATATTGACCTAAATTATATGTATCACAGCCATAGTCTTGATAATGACCATTTGTGTTACAATCCCTCAATAAATGATGACTAAATGGTCCATATACACATCTTCATATTTTTATCTGAACTTTGACCTCTATGTGTGACCTTGACCTTGGCCGCAAGGACCTGAATCTTGCACGCGACACTCCGCCTCACAATGGTGAACATTTGTGCCAAGTAATATTGAAATCCCTCTATACATGTGGAAGTTTTGCTCCGGCCAAGCATTTTTCAATGACCTCTAAGTGTGACCTTGACCTTTGACCTAGAGACCTGGTTCATGTGCGCGACACTGCTCCTCATAGTGGTGAACATTTCTATGAAGTTTCATTAAAATCCCTCCATACATGTAGGAGATATGCTCCGGACAAATTGGACGCCCACCCGCCCGCCCGCCAGGGCGTTCCCATAATACGTCCCGTTTTTCAAACGGGCGTATAAAAAGGCTTGTTAGTAGATAAAGCACTGAATCAACAATATTTACCGGAAAGTGGTTTTGTTGTTATTCATTTTGAAATAAAAAGTGTGTGTACGATTCAGACCGTATGATTTTTTTATCAAAGCAAAAAATAAAGCACTATTTGGCAGTAATAGCTTTTGTCCGGTAAACTGATTGTCCGGTAAATATGTAGGATCCTAGAACACATTGTAGGTCATTCTTCAAACTGCCTAAATGTTTACCTTTAAAATATTGATAAATTAACCTACATTAAATTTTGTGTCACAGAGATGGTGGGATCAATTATAGCCTTACTATCTGTATTTCTATTATTTTTTCTTTAAAAAGTAAGGACATCTATGGGTCACTTGACAATACCGGTGATATGAGGCAGATTATAGTCTACAGCCTGTCCTTCACACACTTTGTCATAACAGAATATCAACATTTATTAAATGCATTAAATATGTTTATTGCATTAAGCTGTTGCATGAATGATTGTATATACAATTATAGTTGAATGTCAATGTATCTATTTCTGGAATACAGTGTACCAATAAAAACAGTGTACATTTTACGGAAATGCTGATGTATAACATAACAATGTATAACATCCAATTATTAAAGTTAAATAATTAATGCAAATTATCATTATATTTAATGACTGATGTAAATGCCTACCAAATAAGATAAACAAGTCAAATATTAGAATATGTAAACTTTCTTATAGCTGTCAATACAAATCAATTTGGACATACACGTACATGTATGTAAGAAAAAAATCTCCCAAAAGCCACACAGCTTACCTGAATTAAGTCCCTCGATGAGCCATTCAGACTCGTACAAAAATGATCAAAATCCCCTAAATAAAAGGCAAAATGACAAAAAAGCCCAAAATAAAAAAGTATACGCAAGTTAATAATGTAATTATGATGTATATTAGTATTTTTCTGTTTAATAATTGATATTAAGTGTAAATTGGAAACAGAAAAGCCCTATGATTGACAGAACATCATGGAAAGCTTACACCAACAGCATGCCCATGTAAAGTTTAAAGCTTTGGCTGTAAGCTTTTATCATTTAATGAGCAAGGTTAATATTTGACTTTAACCTGGGACATAAAAAATACTATTCAAAACTAAGAAACACTTTGTGAATAATACAGTACATACATATTAGGTGACAATGAAACAGATAAAGGATAAAGTATGTAAAGTAATGCTTATTAAAGTTAACATTCATAATATTTTTCTAATGTGCATGAATGTACACAAACTATTTCAGTCATACTACTGACAATAGATGCTGATGAATATACAGTATGACCTCTGTAAAGCTATGACCATTCTACCCAAAGTAGCCTCTATATAAAGCAACCACCTCTCAACAACAACCGGAATGTTTGCTTCCCACAGAGTGTTGTTGCTCTGCAAAGGTAGTACTGTATTAGGATGCAATTTTATTATTTATCACGTAACTTGATATTATATGCATTTCACCAACTTTTTATCATTCAAGTGTGGCCAGGACATTTGAGACGATGGCCTAGCACTTAGGCATAAAGTGTCCCTTAATTATTATATTGCACTTCATATGATAAGTTACCATATTTTAAAACAATTTCAATAATGACAAAACTGTTGTCTGGAATGTACTTTTATGAAGCTTGGCCTTGCTCTCAAGCATGAAATGAACTCTTATATATTACACACATTAATACCAAGTGGTTTCAAAATCATTTTATGACTGACAACATTATTGAACAGAACAATCATCAAAGCATTTTCAGAAGTGTGACTTTGACCTTTATGCTTCAAATCTGTACCTTGCATGCAAAAATTTATGCCTAGTTTTTTTTCCAAAATCCATTCAAACAAGCATAAAACATGACCTTCTATTCACAAGCAAAACATGATTTTGACAAATGGGACCTAGACAAATGAGATACAAAATAACTTAATATCTATAAGTCCATAAATGATATCAATGCACTTATATGAAAAATTTCCTTTCAAGTTCAGTTTGACTTTATCCCTTGAGATACATTCATGGGTCTTGTGTACAATACATTGCTTCAATGTGCAAAACAAACATCCATTATTACTTCAAAATTCATTCATGAATGCCAAAGTTATGGACTGGTCAAGATAATCAATGCATTTTTCGATACAGACTTTGGATGAAGAAGTGTGACCTTGACCTTTGAGAACATTACACATTATACAGTATTTTGTACCTAAAGCAATTGTTCTGGTTTATCTATCGAAATTTACAACATCTGATGTGTCAATATGTGTCAATACCAGATTGAATGTAAATAAACATAATTATACAAAAAATAAATCATATATAGTATATAACATATTCCAGATTGTATGTAAAAAAGTATATATAACATAAACTCTGTATATGTATATAAGAGAAAAAATGAAGATCATTTCAAGTCAGTAGCCAATAAATAATTTCTGTCTATATATTAAAAGTAGCAGATAAAATATATTATATATAAGTGTCACATTTTGGAATGTTGATCAACAACAATAATCTGTTGTGAGAAAACAACATCAGAATTGCCTGCAAGAGAAACTTGTTCACTAACTGTGCCAGCTTCAACACAAACCATATTGTGATATTCGTCATCACCAAAATCGGACATCGATTTGGCCTTCTCTGCCCATGGATTCCAAACCACTGTAAGAATAATTCAGAAAATAAAATACATTAGGACATGAAAAATATGACATTATCAAAAACAATTGGCAGAAAAAAACAACAGTTAATCATTTAAAAAAAATAAAACATAAAATAACAACAAGAGCTTTACTGAGGGTGGGCAATATGCATTTGGATGCAAATTAAAAAGATGCTATGACTGTCAAAAATATGTCATCCAGATAAATTTTCCATAACTGTATGCCTTCCAGTTAAATCCTTCATAAGTGATCATCCTTCATTAACTATTAAACAAGAGGGCCCAGAGGGCCCTGGATTGCTCACCTGAGAAATAGGTTAATGTGGAGCTTCTTTTCACCCCAGAAGAAAAGCAAGAATTAAAACATCATGAAAAACACTGGATTAACAGTACATATAAGAAAAATCAATGACCCTGGGGCAGTGCCAATTTTGACCCTAGGGGTATTATTTCAACAAACATGGTACCAGGTAGATATACACTAAAACATGGTTCAGCTCTTACTCTTTTGGATTTTTACAAAAGGATTTTTTAAGTTTCTACTATTCACATGTATATATAAGAAAAATCAATGACCCCCTGGGGCGGGGCCAATTTTGACTCTAGGGCTTTTATTTGAACAAACTTGGTAGACATCCACTAGAAGATGTTTCATGTGAAATATCTAAGCTCTAGCCATTTCGGTTTTTTTTTACAAGAATTTTTTTTTAGATTTTTGTAAAAGAAAATATTTCAGTTGCCATGGCAACCAGAGTTCTTTATGTAATTTAATTCTTTGAACAACTTTGGTAGAGCTTCATGCAAGGAACATCCTTGCAAAGTTTCAACAAATTTGGCCAAATGGTTCAGGAGGAGAAGTTGTTTAAAGAAATTGTTGACGCACGCACACACGGACAACGGACAATGGGCCACCACAAAAGCTCACCTTGAGGACATTGTCCTCAGGTGAGCTAAATATTATAACACATGAAATACTGAAATGAACCACTCCCAGTAAAATATGTAGTCTTTCATCTTAAAGTACAGTCAAACTTGTATTAAGCGACCGCGCAAGGGAAACACCAAAACGGTCGCTTAATGGAACGGTCTCTTAAGACAAAGCATGACATAAAGTCAAAATTTACAAATGGCATCTTTCTTATGCGATGGGAATCTTAAACAACTTCATTTTCACATAAGTGTTGAATAATTAGCACACTCGATAATCTAAATGGATGCCAATGTAAAAAATAACTTTCTGTTATTTATTGACAAAACAGTTGTGATCCATTTCGTACATGTTTGACATTTTTTCACGAATTGTTTAACTTCTCCGTTGTTTTTCCTTGTCTCCAACACGAAAACCCTACTAGTGAAGACGTTTTTTCTGTTGTGCATTTTTCATTCGAAATACACAAACTACAAGTACATCTAATTTAATTGCTGATCAAGTTCAAGGTCAATTCAATGCAGTCTAAATGTCAACAAGTTGAGTGTATACACCACATCAGTAGGGGCGGAGCGTTGCATTGTTTAATCGATATTATTGGATAATACACGTCACGCGTATACTTAACTTCATTTGCTTACGCTTAAACGGTTTGGGAAATAGAGTTTTTCACACATTTATTTGTTGTGTTTTGATTGTTGACACTTATGACATTACGAGGCGGCGTTCTCTAAAAACACAATTACTTGACAGGTAAAAGTGGTCGTTTAATGAAAAGATTGCTCTCAATTAGGTGACTTATTAGCGGTCGCTGGTCGCGTTGAGCAAAAGTCGCTTAATACATTAAAAATATAGAGTGAAAATGATCGGGGGGAATATAAAGTGGTCGTTTAAGACAAAAGTCGCTTAATACACGTGGTCGCATGGGCAAGTTAGACTGTATAAGATTATTAATTATCCTACCAAGTATAAATCTAAAATACAGATCCTATTTGCAGTTTAAAGATATTCAAATTTCACTCTCCATTTTCAGGAAAATTGAAATTTATATATTTCCCGAGAGACAAAGACTATAATAAATAACTTACCTATGTCATTTAAATTGGATGCGATCAGCTTTCTAGACAAACCTGGCTTATCCACATCTGGAATCAACTCAACTGGACCAGGACAATTTTTGTAAATCCTACAAATCAAACAAGATAGAGTAATAATTTCTCAGTTTGGAGAGGATAGAGGTTTTGGGTCAACCTTACAAATCAAACAAGCCAATGTAATAATTTGAGATAGAGGTTTTTTGTCAATCCTACAAATCAAACAAGTTAATGTAAAAATTTCTAAATTTGGAGAGATTGAGGTTTATTTAATCCTACAAATCAAACAAAACACAATACAGCAAAACATTTTTCTTCTTTTAAGGTCATAGAGAAGTTGAGTTGATAGTTCGACTGTGTCATGCACTCTTCAGTTCTTGAGAATTTAATGATACAGGAAGATCTATACTAGGACTCTATTAAACCAGATTTTTTAAAAAGGAAAATATATTTTTACAGTATGAAGAATGTCTTGGTTGAGCAGAAGGCAATTGCGGAGTAAATATTTTTTGTGTGCTCAAATAAAGTTTTAACAATGGATTTAAAGTTTTTTTTCAACAGATCTTTCACTATATAATTGTCACCAAGAAAGGTTGATAAAACAAAAGGCAAGGCATACGAAGGCTAATCACAAGAGCTAAGTTGGTTTATACAGAGCTTATTTTAGTTAACTGTGTAGGAAGCTTACAACTTAAAGACACTTTCTTGAAACTGTTCCTAAAACAAACCAGTACTGAGCAATGAGTGTAGTTTCTTGCTCAAGGAAGAAACGGCTTGCCCCTGATGGGGTTTAAACCCATGTGGAAAGCAATCCTTAGATTACTAGTCAGACATGTTAACCACTTGACTGTGTCACCTTCTAAAAAATTGACATTAATGTAAGATTTGTTTTGTTTGGTTTTATTCTTCACTGATTTAGCACAATTTTGGCTATATCTCAACAGTCGGTCAACCTATTTGGCTTCCTTTGGACAACTTACAATTAATTTCTTTGCATGAAACCTACTGATTTCTGAATCAGCAGTGAGATACAAGTGACCATTAGACTCAATGTCAAATATCTTTTTTCATGGAGAGAATGCCCTCTATCTTTTGAACTAAGCAGAAGACAGAAGTCTCTTTACATGGTGCTTGGCATACATGTATATAATCATAATGTTACTACCTGTCATAGTTCTTGTCTATTCTCACTGTTTCCCTGTCCTCTACATGTTGACCACCATCTACCTTAAAATAGTTAATATTCACACATATCATAAATTCTATGTTAGATACTGATATATACTGCAAGTTAACGAAACATCATAAATTCTGTATAAGTAATAAGCATGCAATTTGTTTTTTAAAAATATAAAAGGTTGGCAGCCTTACCAGCTTATTGAAATATGATTCAGGACAAATCAAAATCACATTCTGACAAAAAGTGTTGGTGTAACTTAAAAACATTTATGCTAAGTGTCCAACATATGCCATCAATTAAGTTCATATAAGTGAGTAAAAACAGATCTTATAAGTGTGCCATGGTGTTTTGTAGAATGTGCAAAATTACAACAAACAAATAACAACACTAGGCCACTTTGGCTTATAAGTAATTTTAAACAAAATACTTTTCATGAACATCAATATGAAACAATTCAATCGACAAGAAAGATATTCATATATAAATTTCTATAAAGTCTCATTTTCTATGAAATTACAGTGATTAAATACCTTATCATCATAACTGACACCTTTCAATCCTTTCACGCCAGATTTATCAATATCATCTACCCTGAAATATGTGTGCATCAGTGTGGTAAAGCTAAAGGCAGATTCTCCTGTAAAACAAATAACACCCTGGCATACAAACACAGTCAATATGTTACTATGAAGAAAAGGATAATTTTTACACCCTTAATTGTAACAGAAGAAACAAGTAGTAGTATCTTTCTTCTTTATATCAAGACCAACATTTGTCATTGAAGGTTATGTATGCCCCAAAATATTACCCTTGAGATTAAATTGCAAACGTTTAAATGGTGATTTTTTGTGCAAAGTAACTTCAAAGAAAACAAGAACTGTCATATGACAGTGACGCTTGACTATTTGAAAAAGTTGTCACAAGGGTGCTTCATTGAGTATAATAATGCTTACCTATATGAATACATAAAATTGTCCAAAAAGGTACAGAGGTTTGTGACTAAGATGTTTTATTGAGTAAATCAGTGCTTGATTATTATGAATGCATAAAATTGTCACAAAAAAGGCACTAACCCTTCAGTAGTTATGGAGATACCAGCATACAAGCAAAAACTAAACCAAGAATTTTTAAGTTGAAAAAGGGGCATAATCATGCTTAAAAGCAAATCAGAGTTATGGGGCTTGTGCCAATCATGTTAGATAATCACAGAGAATAAGTAAGTGAAGTTTCAATCTATTCCCTTCAGTAGTTATGGACATACTAGCTTACACGCAAAAACTTAATCAAGAATTTCAAAGTCGAAAAGGGGGCATAATTATGCAAAAAAGCAATCACATCGTTTTTTTCTCTACTTTGGAAAATATTACTTGGATCTTGAATGTTTCACTATTCTTACAATTTAAGTACATTTTTCTTAATATTGATTTTCTTGAATTTTTTTTGACTCATCTGGAGGCCTGCAGCTTTAAATAAATAAATGACCATCAATGAAAACTTAACCAAAATGGTAAACAAACACCTATTTTTTTTTGCCAACAGCACAAGTGGGTCATGAGGTTTAAGAAAAAGTGGAACTTAAATGTTCCTATAAAAACATTAATTTTGTATTCTTTATAATATCAAACATAACGTAATTAAAATACCTTTGTTGTAAATCTTCAGTGATGTTGTAAGTTTGTTTTCCTCCATTTTCACAGTGTACTCTAATCGGAATCTAAAAACATATCAATTTATTTCATCACTTTATAGAAGTAAACAAAAAGGATATCTTTTTTTTTCTTAAATAATTATAATCATTTAAACAAGATGGCCTTGATTGCCCTGAGTAGCTCACCAGAAACAACTGCTTTTCAGTGTTGGAAATTATCCATTGTCAATATTTTGTAATATTAAATTTGAGGATAGAATATGTTTAAACAATAATTTGAAGAAATGCCATGACCTGAGGCATTTAAGCTTTATCTTAAATGTGGCCAATCAAATTTATATAAGCAAACTTGATAAAAGACTACCCAAGACTGCTACAAAGTTTGGTGATCTTCTATCAATAATTTCAGTAGGAAATGATGTTCAAAGACTTTTCAATTTTTGGCTTTAGTGGCCCCTAAAAAGGCTAATCAAATTAATATGAGCAAATTTGATTAAAGAGAACCTAAGAATGCTACAGACAAAGTTTGGTGATCATCCATCAATTAGTTCTGTAGAAATAAATGTTTAAAGGTATTTCTATTTTTAGCTTCAGCAGCCCCTAAAAGGGGCCAATCAAATTAATATGAGAAAACTTGATAAAAGACTACCCAAGAATGTTACAGATCATTCATAAATTAGTTCTGTAGACGAAGATGTTTAAAGGTTTTTCTACTTTTAGCCCTAGATTACGCTCAAAGGGGCCAATCAAATTAATATGAGCAAACTTGATAAAAGACTACCCAAGAATGCTACAGACAAAGTTTGGTGATCATCCGTCAATTAGTTCTGTAGAAATAGACGTTTAAAAGTATTTCTATTTTTAGCTTAAGCGGCCCCTAATAGGGGCCAATCAAATTAATATGAGCAAACTTGATAAAGGACTACCCAAGAATGCTACAGACAAAGTTTGGTGATCATCCATCAATCAGTTCTGTAGTAGAAGATGTTTAAAGGTTTTTCTATTTTTAGCTCTGTTGACCCCTAAAAGAGGCCAAAATTGAAATGGCATGAGCAAATTCAAGAGTGACTGTCAAAAGGATGCTACAGACCAAATTTGAAGTTAATCTGCCCAGCAGTTTCAGAGAAGAAAACTATTGTTGACGAATGACAATGGACGACGGAGCATCCCCCTTTGATACTAATAGCTCACTCTGAACTTTCGGTTCTGGTAAGCTAAACAAGAGGGCCATGATGGCCCTGAGGTCGCTCACCTGTATATAGGCCCCCCCCCACCCCTGGGCCAATTTTTACCCAAGGGCTTTTATTTGTTTATTTGAACAGACTTGGTAGACACCCATAAGAAGATGTTTCATGTAAAACATCTAAGTTCTAGCTCATTGGGTTTTTTAAAAGAAGATTTTTAAAGTTTTTACTATACACATATAGTTAAAAACAATGACACCCCTGGGGCAGGGCCAGTTTTGACCCCCGGGCTTTTATTTGAACAAACTTTGTAGATATTTACTTAAAGATGTTTCATGCTTAATATCTAAACTCTAGCTATTTGGGTTTTTTCAAAGAAGATTTTTAAGTTTTTGCTATACACATATAAGGAAAATCAATGACCCCCCCCCCCCCGGCGGGGCCAGTTTTGACCCCAGGGCTTTTATTTGAACATACTTGGTAGACACCCATTAGAACATGTTTCATGCTAAATATCTTAGCTCTAGCTCTTTGAGTTCTTTAAAAGAAGATTTTTTAAGTTTTTACTATATGCATATAGGGAAAATCAATGCCCCCCTGGGGCGGGGCCAATTTTGACCCCAGGGCTTTTATTTGAACAAACTTGGTAGACACTCATTAGAAGATGTTTCATGCTAAATATCTTAGCTCTAGCTCTTTGGGTTCTTTAAAAGAAGATTTTTTAAGTTTTTACTATATGCATATAGGGAAAATCTATGACCCCCTGGGGCGGGGTCAATTTTGACCCCAGGGCTTTTATTTGAACAAACTTGGTAGACACTCACTAGAAGATGTTTCATGCTTAATATCTTAGCTCTACCTCTTTGGGTTCTTTAAAAGAAGATTTTTTAAGTTTTTACTATATGCATATAGGGAAAATCAATGACCCCCCGGGGCGGGCCAATTTTGACCCCAGGGCTTTTATTTGAACAAACTTGGTAGACATTCACTAGAAGATGTTTCATGCTTAATATCTAAGCTCTAGCTCTTACGGTTCTTAAAAGGAAGATTTTTTAAGTTTTTACTATATGCATATAGGGAAAATCAATGACCCCCCCGGGGCGGGGCCAATTTTGACCCCAGGGCTTTTATTTGAACAAACTTGGTAGACATTCACTAGAAGATGTTTCATGCCTAATATCTAAGCTCTAGCTCTTACGGTTCTTTAAAAGAAGAATTTTTCAGTTTTAATATATGCATATAGGGAAAATCAATGACCCCCTGGGGCGGGGCCAATTTTGACCCCAGGGCTTTTATTTGAACAAACTTGGTAGACACTTACTAGAAGATGTTTCATGCCAAATATCTAAGCTCTAGCTCTTAGGGTTGTTTAAAAGAAGATATTTAAAGATTTTTCTTTCGGTTGCCATGGCAACCAGAGTTCTGCATGGAATTAAATTCTTTGAACAATTTTTAAAGGTGACCACCAAAGGAACATTCCTGTGAAGTTTGGATGAAATTGGCTCAGTGGTTTATGAGGAGATGTCATTTAAAGCAAAAGTTTACGGACGGACGACGGACGGACGACGGACGGACGGACGGACGCCGGACGAAAAGCGATCACAAAAGCTCACCCTGTCACTTTGTGACAGGTGAGCTAAAAATAACACAATAATTATCATGTTTATCTTTATTTATGTGGGTTTATAATCACACATACAATGTTAAGTTATGATGACTATTTCTATTTACATGAACATGTCATGCCCTCTCTCCTTGTTTTACACAATAGCATCTGACTCTGTCAAAGGATCAATCTTAGATTACCTACATGAATCTACCTTGAAGTCCCTGGCAGATTCAAATAACCATTGCAAAGAAGGATGATAGAATAAAATTTAGAGACCTTTATCATTAGGCCATGAAGGCCTCTTAATATCTGCTCATCATAAAAATGAAATGAAGGAATAGTATAGAATTTTCAATACCTTTCATTCCACAATTTTCTAGTTTCTTCATCATCTTCTAATACAAACACTTTGCTACAAGCACCATCTCCTGACTGACAGAATGAGTTTTGATCAAAGAACAATAACAAAAATTCTAAACAAATATACATGTATTAAAGTTTCAACTGAATACATTTTATGGTTAGTTATAAAATGTACCCAAAACCTAAAATTAGAAGACAGCTGTACTATTTTTCAAACAGTGTCTAACTAACAATAAGAGCATACCTTAAGAAGGGCAGCTTCATTCTTTAACTAACAATAAGAGCATACCTTGAGAAGAACAGCTTCATCATTCTTCAAACAGTGTCTAACTAACAATTAGAGCATACCTTGAGAAGAACAGCTTCATCATTCATCAAACAGTGTCTAACTAACAATTAGAGCATACCTTGAGAAGAACAGCTTCATCATTCTTCAAACAGTGTCTAACTAACAATTAGAGCATACCTGACTTGCAGCATCATCTTCCCTCCATTTCTTTATTCTAGCAAACCCATGCTGTGGCCCTAGAGTCCATGGTCCAAAGTTAGCTATAATAAAACTGAAAAATTAGCATTGGCTTTGCTTAAAATGAAGGATTATCTGCCCTTCTGATATGGTATCACAGTTTGGTTGTGAAAAAGTATACCAAGTTTGATGTGAATAGCATTGATAGTATTTTAAACTAGAACTTCGCGAGTCGGATGTGTTGCCTTGTGAACAGTACAGTTGTCACTTAGGCATTTTCTTCTTAAATACAGGTTATTTATTAACACTGCTTAATGGTAATAATTCAAACAATAAGAAGTGCAGAGTATCAGTTCTTGTGCACTGCACTTCTTCTTAATGAGATTTATCATCCTATGAAGATTCAAGTCCATAGCTTTTATAATTTAGATGAAATGGTCAGGATAAAAATAAAGTAAGAAAATCAACAAAGGGCAATAACTGAAAAATCATGGAGTACCAGTTTTCATGCACTTCACTTCATCTCAATGAGATCTATCATCCTATGAAGTTTCATAACCAAAGCTTTTATAGTTTAGGAGAAATGGCCCAGACAAAAATAAAGTATGAAAATTAACAAAGGGAAAAAACTCAAAATATGCAGAGTACCGGTTCTTGTGCATTGCACTTCTTCTTAATGAGATCTCTCATCCTATGAAGTTTCAAGTAAATAGCTTTTATTATTTAAAAGAAATTGCCCGGACAAAAATAAAGTATGAAAATTAACAAAGGGCAATAACTGAAAAAATAAGAAGTGCAGAGTGCCTGTTCTTATCCACTGCACTTTTTCTTAATGAGATCTATTACCCTATAAAGTTTCAAGTCCATAGCTTTTATAGTTTATGAAAAATGGCCTGGACAAAAATAAACTATAAAAATTAACAAAGGGCAATAACTCAAAAAGTAAGAAGTGCAGAGTACCAGTTCTTTTGCACTGCACTTCTTCTTAATGAGATCTTTCATCATATGAAGTTTCAAGTCAATAGCTTTTATAATTTATAAGAAATGGCCCGAACAAAAATAAAGTATGAAAATTTACAAAGGGCAATAACTCAGAAAATTAAGAAGTGAAGAGTATCGGTTCTTGTGCACTGCACTTCGGGTTATTAAAAGACGCATGCATACCAAGTTTGGAGTCAATCAGACTTATTGTGACTGAGTTATGCTCCAGACAAGCCTTAGGGGACGCCGACACGCCGACAAAAGTAACCCCTATATGTCACCTTGAAACAAAAAACTACTTATAAAAGGTCTCAATGACCTTGTTCTTTGAACTTTTGACCTGAAAATGGTTGTGACAGGAACACCTCATCAAGCTGTGTATACATAAACATACCATGTTTCAATGTATTAGCATTGTAAGGTTTAAAGTTAATGACCATAAAAGAATATTTGACAAAAAGATTTATGACAATAGTTAACATAATGCTAGCCCGAGTCAATCAGGGTGACCCCCGTCATGACAATAGCTCCAAATTCCCTTCTCAAAGAGAAGCTAAAAAAGATGCGTTCATTTAATTTCCATCATAATTAAAAAATATATAACAAATGAGAACAAGATTGCATTTGAGAAAAATGCTATGCCACCGCATTAATATAACACTAAATAGTAGTGTAGGAACAGATTTTTTTGTTTCTAGACAATTTTGAAGATTGTCATAATGCATAGATCCCTGACCTATCTTATTCTTATTATCAGATTAGTGGTTAAATCTGTTGTTAACTCAATAAAAGATCAGAGTATGAATATATCAATGCACTCAAGTCTAGTGAATTTGGTGGTGAAGGTCATATTTCACACAGCCTAAATTTCATGGCTTCATCAAAGGACAACACAGTAAGACACTTTGTCAAAATCTAGGTCAGATGAAATCAAAGTTCACTTTACATCTTAATCTGTGCACATGGTTCAAATTTCATAGCTGTACACCAAAGGACAAGAAAGTAGGTCACATCATCAAAATCTAGGTCACCTGATATCAAAGTTTAATTTTACAACAAAAACTGTACACATGGTCAAAATTTCATTGCTGCGCATCAAAAGACAAGAAAGTAGGTCACTGTCCCTTGGGCAAGGCAAAATTTTGGACCAAGAGTTTAATTCAAAACAATCTTGATACAGGTCCACGAAAAAACATTTCAAGTCAAATATCTAAGCTGTAGCTTTCTCCCATTCAGAAAACATTCGTTTTATTTTCTGTTTTTACTATGTGTACATAATGAGAATCACTGCCCCCGGGCAGGGCCAATTTTGACACCTTGGGAAAAATTTGAACAACTTTGGTAGAGGACCTATAGATGATATAATATAGCAAACATCAAAGCATCAATGCCTTGAACCTTCAGACAAAAATATTTTTTATTTTTTTACTATATGTACATAATGAAAATCAATGACCCCCGGGCGGGGACAATTTTGACCACAGGGCTATAATTTGAACAATCTTGGTAAAGGTTCACTTCGCAAAATCATATGCCATAAATTTAACCTCTAGCCTTTATCAATTCAGAGAAGAAGATTTTTCAAGTTTTTGCTTTATACATATAAGGAAAACTATCGCCTCTGGGGCAGGGCAATTTTAACACTAGGGGCATAATTAAAACAACTTTAGAAGAGGACCCATAGAAGATATTATATACCAAATATCAAAGCTCTGGATAGAGGTCTACCAGACAATGCCTTATGCAAAATATCTAAGCTCTAGGCCTTTTGTGTCTTTACAAGAAGGCATTTTAAGTTTTTACTATATGTAGATATAGTGAAAATCAATGACCCCAAGGGCGGGGCCGATTTTGACCCCAGGGCTATAATTTGAACAATATTGGTAAGGGTCTACCAGACAATGCCTTATGCAAAATATTTAAGCTCTAGGCCTTTTGGGTCTTTACAAGAAGGTATTTTAAGTTTTTACTATATGTACATATAGTGAAAATCAATGACCCCTGGGGCGGGGCCGATTTTGACCCCAGGGCTTTAATTTGAACAATCTTGGTAGAGGTCTACCAGACAATGCCTTATGCAAAATATCTAAGCTCTAGGCCTTTTGGGTCTTTACAAGAAGATTTTTTAAATGTATTCTTATAATTCCTTTTGGTTGCCATGGCAACCAGATTTCTGCATGGAATGAAATTCTTTGAACAACTTTGGAAGCCCTTCACCCAAGGATCAATCCCGCCAAGTTTGGTTGAAATTGGACTAGTGGTTTTTTACAAGAAGATTTTTTAAGTTCACTATATAATCTATATAACACACACACACACAAACAAACAAACAAACAAACACACACACACACACACACAGGTGAATCGCTATATGCCACCGCATCGCAGATGCTGCGGTGGCATAAAAAGAACTTACGGAAAACAAGTGGGATACCTCCCCTCACTGCCTTGCTTCCATCAAGTAATGCTTTTTCACTGAAATAATATTAAATTTGATGAAAGTTTGTCAGAGTTATTCACCCAATTATTATCAATGAGAACTATGGGCTAAGTGTAACTGTAAGTTATTAGTGACAATTCATTTCTAATTTTTATTTTCACTGCATTCTCTAAAACTAACAATACATTTACTTTACACTTAGTCAATTACACAAAGTCGGCAAGTAGTGTTATTGTTAAAGAGTATTTTATGTAGTGGCTGAAATGTGCTCTGGTACATTTAATTTTAATATGGCTTACTGCTATGATCCTGAGAGAAAACTGTTTGTTTGTTTGTTTGTTTCATTTTATGCCTTTTCCCAACAGTATTTCAGTCATATAGGTGGGTTTTTTTCCTAACCATCCTGCCTGGAGAGTTACAGCAGTACTAGACTACCTTCCTCCGTGCTAAACTACCAAAGCATCTCATGCCAGAGAGGTTAAACTGGATTAGAAGTCATCAACTCTAACCCCTTGACCGGAGTGAAAACTACCACACTACCAACCACCACATTATTTTCTAGTCTTTACAAAAAGATGTGAAAAATCATGAAATACTCCCACACAGGATTCATAGATCCGGAAACATGATGATTGGCCTACTGAGCTGAACATATCTAGATCTGCAAGGATGTTTGTTGATGTAAGTAGCATAAAAAAATGAGCCGCATCATGACAAAACCAACATAATGGGTTTGCGACCAGCATGGATCCAGACCAGCCTGCGCATCCGCGCAGTCTGATCAGGATCCATGCTGTTCGCTTACCAACCCTATTACAAGTAGAGAAACTGATAGCCAACAGCATGGATCCTGATCAGACTGCGCGGATGCACAGGCTGGTCTGGATCCATGCTGGTCGCAAACGCACAATGTAGGTTTTGTCGTGAAGCGGCTCAAATATTCATTATTCATTTGGTTTAATTTATAAGTCTTAACATCAAAAAGGTCATGTGTTGACTATCCAGCTTTACTGGTAGAGGACACCCTGTTATGAATTATTTAAGTACAAGACAAGTATAACCACTGATCTGTTAGATAACTGGCAAATGATGCTTCATACACAAATCCAATGTAAAAATAGTACGTTTGACCCATCAGTTATTATCTAAAGTGCTTAATTAAACATAATTAAATACATGTATTAATAAATAACTTAATATCCTGACCGTTTTGTAAAGTGTAAAATTGAGCCGCATCACTAAAAAACCAACATAGTGGGTTTGCGACCAGCATGGATCCAGACCAACCTGCCCATCCGCTCTGTCTGATAAGGATCCATGCTGTTCGCTTTCAGTTTCTCTACTTGTTACAGGGTTAGTAAGCCAACAGCATGGATCCTGATTAGACTGTCCGGATGCGCAGGCTGGTCTGGATCCAAGCTGGTCACAAACGCATGACGTTGGTTATGTCATGACATGGCTCAAATAATATATCCTTTATAAAATGGACTAAAATCTTATTCCAGCAATATTTACTACTAGACTACTTCAATATTACCAAAAGCATAATACATTAATTTGGTACTCAGTTTTAGAAATAAACTTCCATTTACCTGCAAAACAAAATTTCTTCCCCTTTGTTCTTCCAAGATGTTACAGTAGCACCTTTAATAAACAAGAGGGCCATGATGGCCCTGAAGTCGCTCACCTGTATATAGGCCCCCGGAGCGGGCCAGTTTAAAACCCAGGGCTTTTATTTGAACAAACTTGGTAGACATACATTAGAAAATGTTTAAGGCAAACATCTAAGGTCTAGCTCGTTGGGTTTTTTAAAAGAAGATTTTTTCAAGTTTTTTCTTTACACATATAGTTAAAAACAATGACACACCTGGGGCAGGGCCAGTTTTGACCCCAGGGCTTTTATTTGAACAATCTTTGTAGAAACTTACTAGCAAATGTTTCATGCTTAATATCTAAACTCTAGCTATTTGGGTTTTTTCAAAGAAGATTTTGCTATACACTGTATGATTGAAAATCAATGTCCCCCGGGGCAGGGCCAATTTTGACCCCAGGGCTTTTATTTGAACAAACTTGGTAGACACTCACTAGAAGATGCTTCATGCTTAATATCTAAACATTAGCTATTTGAGTTTTTTCAAAGAAGATTTTTTAAGTTTTTGTTATACACATATAAGGAAAATGAATGACCCCCGGGGCGGGGCCAATTTTGACTCCAGGGCTTTTATTTGAACAAACTTGGTAGACACTCACTAGAAGATCTTTCATGCTTAGTATCTAAACCTTAGCTATTTGGGTTTTTTTTTTCAAAAAAGATTTTTTAAGTTTTTGCTATACACATATAGGAAAATCAATGACCCCCGGGGCGGGCCAATTTTGACCCCAGGGCTTTTATTTGAACAAACTTGGTAGACATCCATCAGAACATGTTTCATGCTAAATATCTTAGCTCTAGCTCTTTGGGTTCTTTAAAAGAAGTTTTTTAAGTTTTTACTATATGCATATAGGGAAAATCAATGACCACCTGGGGCAGGGCCAATTTTGACCCCAGGGCTTTTATTTGAACAAACTTGGTAGACATCCATTAGAAGATGTTTTATGCTAAATATCTTAGCTCTAGCTCTTTGGGTTCTTTAAAAGAAGATTTTTTAAGTTTTTACTATATGCAGATAGGGCAAATCAATGACCCCCTGGGGCGGGGCCAATTTTATTTGAACAAACTTGGTAGAAATTCACTAGAAGATGTTTCATGCAAAATATCTAAGCTCTAGCTCTTTGGGTTATTTAGAAGAAGATATTTAAAGTTTTTTCTTTTGGTTGCCATGGCAACCAGAGTTCTGCATGGAACTAAATTCTTTGAACAACTTTCAAAGGTGACCACCAAAGGAACATTCCTGTGAAGTTTGGATGAAATTGGCTTGGTGGTTTATGAGAAGATGTCATTTAAAGTAAAAGTTTACGGACGACGGCCGGACGACGGCCAGACGCCGGACGAAAAGCGATCACAAAAGCTCACCCTGTCACTTTGTGACAGGTGAGCTAAAAAAAAAAGAATGTATATACCACTTTTATATAATAGGATATTTTTTAACCATTATGATATTATTAAATAGGCTAGGATGCACATTTTACTAGACTGTCCAGATTTTAATATACAACAATTTATAAGGTAACACAATTTTCAATTCTAAAAGCTTTAAAACTCTTTAAGGTACATATTTAAAGGTGTGGAATGTAAGTTAAACACACAATTTGCTGAAATAATTAAACCGATGCTTAACCTTAAAAAATGAATGAAAAAAACAAACCATGTAAATTTATAGTGCACTCAGAGCCTTCTTTTCCTTTTAAAAAAACTTCTTGTCTTTTATTGCTGATATCTGACATCATTCACTACAGGAAAAATTGAAAAATGTCTACATAAATGAGCCGTGTCACGACAAAACCAACATAATGGGTTTGCGACCAGCATGGATCCAGACCAGCCTGCGCATCCGCGCAGTCTGATCAGGATCCATGCTGTTCGCTTCCAAACCCTATAACAAGTAGAGAAACTGATAGCGAACAGCATGGAGCAGACTGCGCGGATGCGCAGGCTGGTCTGGATCCATGCTGGTCGCAAACCCATTATGTTGGTTTTGTCGTGACACGGCTCAAATATATATCATTCTTATTCAGTTCGATAAAAAAGATCTACATCTACATATACTTGTACAGTCTGTTTAACAGAGTAACTGATGTCTAAAAAATCCACAAGTATTCCTTATTTCAAGCTTCATTTCCCTATATATCATATATAATTTTCATTAATTTTAATAAGTTGTATGTATATATGTTTGCATATGAAAGAGACTAGGGCTCCCACGTTTACAATTTTTTGTAAACGTTTACACAATTGTTAAGAACCGAAACAATACGGTGGTACTTATATGTACAATACTACACCATGTATTTGAGTCGCCATATGATGACTAACTTTCTATTCTTTACACATGTACAAAACGAACAAATAAATAATGTTCAGGGCTCATCACGACTGCATGTGTCAGCACATATTTTCTGCATTGAATCCCCATTTGAAAGATCAAAGGAAAATCAAATTTACAAAATAACGTATTATGTCACAAGCGATTATTGCACAGCAATGCTGTTTGGAAGGTTATAAACACCCATTTTCAGTTTTTGACTTTGGAATTGATAAAATCCATGATAACAGGCAATGATCAAGATATTTGTAACACAATGTGGTCATTTCCTAATACGATTAAACGGTAAAAAATATTGTAAACGTTTACGAATGAAAGTCGAAACGAATCAGTTTAAACGTGTAACTTTGGGAGCCTTAAAAGAGACTTAAAAATAAACAAAATAAAAATTTACATTGATTACTTGCAAACTTACCCGTCTTTATTTAGTATTATGATATGTACGTTCACTTTGAAAAAGATCGTTAAAATGTATGTTAAAACCAGGAATTTTTTCCAGGATTTTGGGAACACGACCCATACTCAATTGGGAATTTCAATTGGTGTTTTGTTAACAATTGGGGGAAAAATGCATAACTGAAGTTTGCAGTTATTAACCTTTTTGAGGCCTCAAACAGTGAAAAAATGCCCGATTTAGGCCCCAAACACTGTTTTTCGTTTGAGAAATGTTGTTAAAAAAAGTGACCACTTTTTCGGCGGCGTCCCCCATCCAAATATTACATCAGGGGGTTGCCAGAAGGGGGATGTGCCCCCTTTTGTTTGGGGGGTTTGAAGGGGGGCGGAGTCGCCCTCATCTCCAAGAAAATTTTGGACATGTGACAGGCTAAAAATGGCCTCAGGTTGATCTTAGGGTAGCTAGTAACCGACGCTGAAAAGCCTTGTACTCTATCTCAATTCATTCATTGAGAAGTTGCAGCACTTTGAAATCAGTTTTGATGGAAAAAAACAAAGCTAAATAGTGATTTTTGGCAATTTTGAGACTTCCCCCCGTTGCCATGGAAACAGGAAATTTATAATTGAGCATGCTGTTACAGAGGCTATGGTGTAGTCAACATTTGTGCCAAGTTTCATTTGTATTGAAGCATTTTTCATAGTTTCATAGCAGTTTGAACTAATGTTACAGGAGGCTTTTCAGTGAAAATGGCCAAAATTTTCGCAATATGCTCATGGGGTAAAAGGTTAAATGGATGCAACAAATTACTGTCTATGATGGCATCTTCAAACATTTAAGCACTATTACAATGAAGAAGCCCTTATTTGCAAAGATTTAAGAATTTTTATTCAATATTTTTATTTTGTAACTTTCAATTGGGAATTTTTTCCTGTGGATTGGGAAAATAATAGAATTATTTTAAGACCCAATTTAATGACAAGTTGACAAAAAGAAGGGGACAAGTTGACCATATTAGAGACAAATTGACTCATTGAGGTCAAATTGACCAAAAGTAGGGGACGAGTTGAGCAAATAGGTGACAAGTTGATCACAGGACGAGTTTAGACATCTACTGGTTGGGTCACCACCAAAACCGGACAACCACCAAACCCGGACGGCCCCGAAAATGCTTAATTTAGTATTTTCTTTGTTCAGTGGTTGTCAGTCACTTTTTTATCAACAATAAGTGCATGTTTATTTTAAAATTAAGTAAATAAATTTATTTCAACCTCCGTAAATGGTGATATTTTAATGTCTATTTCAAGAATGTTGACGTTGAAATTTGGGGGTCAAGAAAGCAACGCCTGACCTCATATATTAGCTATAATCATTTGCAGAGTGAATAATAGAATATCCAAAACTTCACCATTTGTTGCTGACATATTGTATATCATGTTAAAAATCAAAACACCAGGCTTTTATCTGAATTAAATCACGTCATGTACATATCTGTCCGGACACATTGTACTGTAGTGTAGACAATTTAGGTAATTTTGATACCCTCCTTGTCGAGCCTCAGATATAAGTGTCAATAAAATCAGAAATAAACAAACTTGTTTGTAAGTTAGGAGAAGAACGTAGCTGAACTGTGTCTAATTTTTTGGTCTCTAGGTTAAAAATTATGAAATCTGTACGTAAAAATGTTCCAAAAGTGTCCGGTTGATGGTCTTCGACCAGTAAACAACTGTATATCATTATCAATTATTCTTTTTATTTATAATGTGTCCATATGTTTCTGTTAGTTACTGTAAAATTCCCATTTTTATCGGGCCTTTTTAGACACTTACTCCGAATGCCACAGTTGACCTAAAATCTGTCCGCAGCAATTTTTAACATTTTACCAAAATTATGGAAAGGTCCGGATTTATCCGAATCTGTATACACTTATACATTTTTTAAAGTGTTATTTACAGAGTAGATATTGTCATTTTAAAAATTAAAAATTGCCCGGGACTGTTAAAATTAAACAGCTTTTTGGGCCCTTATTACAAAATATCTCACCTTTTTGTCTGAATTTTTTAAAAAAATTTAAACTAAATTTTGAAACTGAAATCGCTTCGTGTTTGTTGTTGTATTTGTACCCCAAACTAGCCTAAACGGGGTTATCTTTGGGTTCATCAATTAGAAATTTGAAAGCGCTTTTTAAAGGCAAAACCAGTTTAATCGGGAATATATGATCGAAGACTTTCTTCTAGTTCCTTCTTTTATTATTGGACATACAAAAACGTGCATACAAACAAAAATTCAAAGGAAATTACAAATAATTGATTTACAGAACAATAAAATTACACATTTCATCCAATACATCAATGGAAAAGAATAGGACGTTACAAATACAAAAACCAATGGACAGGGCTAGATAAATTCTGACTGATTTTGACATTTAATGCAAATTATAATCACGGATTTATATTACATTATAAATCCGTGTTATAATTATACGGAATATTGACCTGTGTATCCTTAACATACATGTATGTACTAAAATAGTCCTTTGTATTTCTTGTACAATGACAAACCAGGTATAGAGAAAATTTTGTCCCTGATGATTTAAAACTTGCCAGGGTGAAACTATTATATAAGAAAAATAGTACACTTGACGTGGGCAATTATAGGCCTGTTAGTATATTAAGTATTATCTCTAAGATTTTAGAAAGAGCAGTATATAATCAATTAGAATCATTTCTTGTTAAAAATAATATATTGTATGAACACCAATCTGGTTTTAGAAGTTCACATTCAACTGATACTTGTCTCATACATTTGTTAGATCATATCAGACTGAATAATTCCAATGGCTTATTAACTGGAGTTGCAAAAGGCATTCGATACTGTTGATCATAATATTCTTTGTGGAAAACTTCATCTGATGGGAATTACCAATACAGACTGGTTTAAATCTTATCTAAATAACAGAAAACAATTAGTACATATATTGGAGAGTTTTCTTCTTCTCCATCAATAGTAAATTGTGGTTTTCCTCAGGGAAGTATTTTAGGTCCATTGCTCTTTTTATGCTATGTAAATGATATGATCACCAGTATCGATTCTGAGTGTAAGCTTTTTTTGTATGCTGATGACAGCACTATACTTTTTTCTCATCATGATCCTGATTTTATTTAACAGAAATTAGGTAAAGCTCTAGAATCTTGTTCAGATTGGCTAGTTGATAATAAACTGTCTCTCCACTTAGGAAAAACTGAATGTATGATTTTTGGTCCAAAGAAAAAACTTAAAAAGATTAATAAGTTTAATATTATTTGTAATGGTCACACTATTGAATCTACTAAGTCAAATATCTTGGTTTGAAAATTGAAAATCTTCTGTCTGGAGAAGAAATTGTTAACACAGTCATATCTAAAGTAAACACTAAACTTAAATTTTTGTACAGAAACAGTAAATGTCTATCATTTAACTGTAGAAAATTGCTTTGTTCTGCTTTAATCCAATGTCATTTTGACTATTCTTGTTCGTCCTGGTACGAAAGTTTAAATAAAAGTCTGAAAAAGAAATTGCAAGTAGCTCAAAACAAAGTCATAAGGTTTATAAAAGATTACCATCCAAGAACTAGTTTAACTCCTTCTGATTTTACAGATGTTAACATGTTAAATATTGAAAACAGAGTAAAACAACTAAGACTTAATCATATGCATAAGATTTTTTATAATAAGTGTCCAACTTATATGAAAACAAACTTTGTTCGGATGTCTGATATACACAACTACTACACTAGATCAATTAAGTTTAATTTTTCAATTTCTCATTGTAATAAGACATGTAATAGCATTTTTTTCTAAATGGTATTAAAGATTGGAATAGTTTGCCAGATGATGTAAAATGTATATCAAATCCAACTTTATATAAAACTTCTGTTAAAAGCCATTTTGCTTCAACATGGGCTGCGCAACATCAAAGTGATTTTTTATATTACTAAGTTGCGACATAAGTTCGCCAAACTATATTATTTTTTTAGTTATCTTATTTTTTCCTGTGCCTTTCTTTCTGTGATAATGCAAAACTACTGTGATTGAATAATTTGAAGATTATCCCATTGTCTATTTTTATTTGAGGAATGAATGTCTCTCTGGTTTCATCTTGTTTCCATCTATTTGGTGAACAGGACCCAATTGGAAATAAGCACACCAGCTTAATGGGCTATCCTTGTAACCATAGATCACTTTTAAACAAAACCTTTGTATTGAAATTTTATTGAAATTCTTTTATTTCTTTTATATCATGTTTATCAGTAACTTTAAACAATATTCTGTGATAATTATAATTCTGACTGTATAATATATATTTATTTTTTTATTTTTTTTAAATACATTTATCCAATGCCTCACCTGATCTCAGTCATTAACTTAATTTGTTTTATTTATTATTAATATGAAATGATATTTTAATTTGGATAAACTGTTATTTAAAATATGTATATATATTTATTTCTATATATATCTTATTATGTAACTGTGATCTATGTTGTTGCTAAAAATAGAATAAAATAAATAAACGTATATAGTTAATATACGTACCTGGACAAACTGATAGAGGTAGCACATTGCATCACTAACATTCCGAAGTATAAATCATACATAACGATTTTAAGTCCGATTTAAACAAGGCCAGTAATTGCGGTGTATTTATTATTTTCAATTGTCAGAGTTGGTTCCTTTGGACCTTTAATAATAGTTTCCTACAATACAGTAATGCAAATCTTGTTTTACGTTAATTCATATATTGTAAGAATTGGACTATTAATGCAAATTTATGCAACATTTCAGGCATCGAGATAAATTTTATCAATAGGATATGCCATGTTTTTATATCAAAAAGTCATAAGACTGCTTATGATGTGTACATAAAATCTTTTTTCCCCCACTAGAATAATGGACATAACTTGTACTTGCGCATACCGCCTAAGTAAAATTTTTTAATACTGCTTTTAGAAAAAGTGAATATTACCTAATCTAAGTATAGTATATGCAATTATGTTTAATAGCTTAAAAAAACACCCGTTGTATTCCAGACAAGTTCACCTTTGTCATCTGCAATCAGGACGTATAAATGTTTGATCCACATGTCTTTTAAGTGAGATGATTTATAATTGTTCAATGAATTGTGATATTGCGCTGATAGCTGTGAAAACATTACTTACATTCGACCTTTCTTCATCACAATTCTACTTTATTAAGTTGTGTCAGTTAAATTTTAAATCACGGCTGTCACCCTGCGAACATTCATGTGTGCCACTTGTCATAGCCTTACACTGAATCGTCACATCGACGGTACCATGATTATATCCGTATAAAACAAATTTGTAGATGTTTCTTAATTCAAAGTTTTACTATTTACATGATAATAATTCCGCCAGTGGAAGAAGGCAAGAAAAAATTAACAGAAACAAAAATAGCATTCAAATAGCTTTGCTCCTTGTATAAAGCCCTTATTTATGCAATGGGGAAAACATTTCATGAAGGTAAGTTGACACAGAAAACAGTATTGGTATAGAACCCAGTAACAGTAGCAGAAGAAATTAATAAGCCACTTCAAACAGTTATTGCCAAAGCTCATTTTTGATATACATGTTAGTCGAACTAATTACACTACGCGTCGAGATATAATATATTATATATCCAGCGCACTTAAACAATTATGGGCAATATCTGTAGAAGCGAAATTCTGATCCTGAAAATAAACATCACAGACCGTCAAAATGACAAGGAAAAGAAACAAAGGGCAATAACTCTGTAATTAGTAAAGTTGGAGTTATGGTTCTTGTGCACTGCACTTCCTCTCAAAGTGTTGACCATTGTATGAAGTTTTATTGAATTCCAACTATTAGTCTTTAAGTGATGCTCCGGACAAGGAAAATGCAACGGACCGCTGGACCGACCGACCTACCGATCGACCGAACACCTAGTGACTCCTATATACCCCCCCCCCCCCCCCCCCCCAAAAAAAAAAATACACAAAAAAAAACAAAAAAAAAACAAAAAACCAAAATAACCTCGTTTCATGGGTATAATCACTTATAAATTACTTAGATAAACTGTTAACCCGTAAATACCCATCCTATTACAGCAATAAGTTTTAAGGTTTTATATATATACTTCGACATTCCTTGATTTAAACAATATATATAATTTATAATTATTCTTCTTTAGCTTCAAAACAAAATTCACAATACGTAAATGGCAACCATAATTATTTAGAAAACTTAAAGTGAATTGGTTTTAAAAAAAAGAAAGAAAGAAAAACGATTATGTTGATAGCAGTTAGATTCATACTTCACAACAATTCTTAGAATAATAATGTATGCGTTTTGTTGGTTAGTATAAGATACATGATCAGATTTCACATAAATTATATGACAGACAATATATTGTTCTTGAACAAAATGTTACCATTTATCACATAAATGTCCATAATAAACCGCTCTATCATCATTTTCTTTTCTTTCCAAATCCAAATGATAATTTTCTATCATTTTATTAAGATTTGAAAAACATATAATAAAAAATGTACTCCTCGTAGACCATTGAAATATATACCGTAATATAATGGTACTTCTGTTTAAAAGGTTTGTTGTTGACACTAGCTATTACAAAGTTATATAGAAGTAACTGATAAGTCAAGGATTTCGATAATTAATATCATATGAATATCGAAATTTATATCACGAAAAGCCTTTTAAGCAAACAGTAAATCTATTATTTAATTCATAATGTATATCTTATTTTGAGATCTGTATCAACAAAATTGTTTGCCAGCCATTCGTCAACCTTGTCATTCATTGCGACGGTAAAATGATTCTTCCAGTCTCCAACTTGACCTATTGTAAAAGCAGAAAATATTTTAATGCAAATGTAGACGTTTCCTTGTACATGTAAACATAAAGAACCTCTTGCTTGGATATTAAATCAATTGAATTTGTCCATAACTTTTAATTATCGTCAAAACAAATTATATGATTTATTAATCATTATAATTTTCTTTTACCAAAATGAGGTTATGCGAAAAAATATTGTTATCATTTTTCGTTATCTATCTCAGATAATAATCAAATTGAAAATATTATACCCTAACAAACTCGCAATAAATGTAATGCTAGTGTAGATTTTATCACCAATTGAATGTGTTTTTTTTTTCATAGTAATCATAACATATTGTTTCCGAAAATACGTATAACTGTATATTACCTTTTCTGTAAATTGGGTTAGTTTTATTTGCAGCAACTGTGAATGCCTCTTGAACTTTTACTTCTTCGTCCGCCTTCTTTAGTTTTTTAAAGTCGCATGCATCAGCAATATTTCTAATCAGATCGTCACTTCGGTTTGTGCCAAGAAACTTGTCTAACTTCTTGATCTCTCTGACAGTATCCTACAAATTAAAAGATTAAAATGTTTTCCATTGAAGAGGAAAGGAAAACTTGAAACATTTATAAATGCTGCTTTGAAGACTAACCTATAGTTATTTCTGCGGTTAAAATAAATGTAGATGGGTCATATACATGTATATTATTAAACAAGAGCTGTCGGTAGGACAACAACGCTCGACTATTGTTAGTGCTTGATAGTAAAAAAAAATGCTTGATACAGTTACCTCCTCCGGTTTACAGGTTGGGGTAATGATGGTGAACAAGTGTGCAAAGTTTCGAAGCCATATGTCAATGAACTTTGAAAATATTTGAGGTATTACAAAAACTTTAACCTAAATTCTAAGTCGAAAAAGGGGCATAATTCTGTCAAAATGCTTGATAGAGTTACCTCCTCCTGTCTACAGGTTAGGGTCATAATGGTGAACAACTGTGCAAAGTTTCAAAGCCATATGTCAATGGAATATGAAAATATATAAGGTATTACAAAAACTTTAACATAAATTCTAAGTCGAAAAAGGGGCATAATTTTGTCAAAATGCCTCCTGTCTACAGGTAGGGGTCATGATGGTGAACAAGTGTGCAAAGTTTCAAAGCCATATGTCAATGGACTTTGAAAATATTCGAACTATTACAAAACTTTAACATAAGTGGTTACGCCGACGCCGACGCCGACGCCGACGCCGACGCTCGGGTGACTGCAATAGCTCTACTTATTCTTATCGAATAGTCGAGCTAAAAAGATAACTGTGTTATTATCATGCCTCTTATCATAAACATTTACGCACCGTCCAATGTGCCAAATAATGTAAAATGAGAAACGTGCAAATACGTGATTGCCACACAAACAAATCAAGAAAAGCAAAAATTTACCTCTTTCAAATCTTCATAGTAAATATTTATGATATCATCCGGGTTTTCTTTTGAAAAACGTTCCCATTCTTTAACGTATTGAAACCATGGATAAAAGAAGTCTTAAAGAGAAAGGTGAGGAAAAACATAAACATTATAATAATTGACCATAATAGATTGGTTGCTGAAACAATATACATCTAATAACTTGAATTATATTACTACTTTATTTTACTAGCTTATACATGTACACTGTACCGACGATGGTAGTCACCTGAAGAAGGTAAACCTTCCCAGTGCCCAGTATTTATCTACGTTAACAAAGTAGGTGATTTACGGAAAAACTATTTGTTTATGTATGAATTCTTATGAAGAGAACAAACACTACAATATTAAAAACATATACCTATCAGATAATAAATAATACAGTTATAAACATCAGAGTTTTGTTACTGTATTAAAAGTTATTATAGTGTAATAATAAGAAAATTCTGTCAAATTGCATAAAGTTTTTATGTTGGAGGTCCTGTTGCCTATCTTGTCATGTTTTTATGAAATATGCAAGATAAACTTTGTTAATGTAATATTTTGTGGAAAAATACGTCAACAGGACTTTCCCAAAATTGATAAAAAATCAATATATTTTTTCTACATGCATGGCATCATAGCCATGTATGATTTTCCTACAATTACCCTTCTTCACTTCAAACTTTAAATTTACAAGCAAATGCTTCATGCACATTTGAAGAAACAAATGTAACCTTTAGAGTAAAAAGATAAAGCCTTTATCATGAGCCATTTCTTTTTCTTTTACTTTTTATTATTTGAACTCACATTTCTCGCAGAGATTTTAAAAGCTAAGATAAAGTATTAATATTTAAGTTAATACTTTAATACATGTACTTAATATGCTATACTGTAAGAGCTATTCATCTAGAATTTTTTTGATTAAATTGAAAGATGACAATTCCCGAAGGGGAGCGGTGGCCTAGTAGTAAAGGTGTCTGCCTCTCAACCCAGAGATCATGGGTTCGAGCCATACTCGGGTCACGGTCTTGTTTTTCCGTATGACAACAGTACTGGTTGGTTCCAGGAAGCAGACTCGAAAGTGAATAATATAACTTGCAAAAATCTTGTTTCGCAATCGAGCTAAAATAAATATGCTTAAACCAACATTCCCGAATAAAATAGAAAATAATACACTGTATCGACAAGCCCGTCACGTGACTATACAGGGTAAACGTACACACGGTTGCTGGACACACATCTTGACCACATTAATTACTGATAAGCTCAAATATCAGATATCATTACAGGTCTATTTCCAGGTTGCAATTACCCATTAATAATTTTCAATGTTATAAATATTGTAAATGCAGTTTAAACTACTGCTATATCTTTTGATATAAAGTGTTCATAGCCAAAAAAATCTCAGTTTAAAAATGTGAATATACCCGTAGTTTCAGCTCTAAACTGAAATACTATAGTAGACATATTACTGCATTCATAGAATCAATTATTGATATGAATCAAAGTAGATTGGAAAAAGTACTTTAGCTGTATATGTGTCAAAAAGCTTACTCACGCAGACCATACTCTCCAATTAATTTCGGAAGAAACTCTTCGAAAGATTCTGATTCACTTCCTTCTTTATGGTGACTTAAATGATGAAACAAAGACACAAAAACATCTTTTGGATTCCTGATCACGTGAACAATTTTACATTTCTTCTGGAAAATTCCTGTTGGTGTAAGTTTGCAAGGGTAATGAGAATTCAGTACTCTTGGTGAAGGAATTGTGTCGACTATCTCCGGCGATTGAAAGTCTAAGAAAGCAGCTTCTTTCGTCTTGGTTTCATACTCAGCATTTCCACGTTGAAGCATAACAAGGATTTCCCATACCCAATGTGTACCTTTTGATATGTTTTAACAGAACATTATTTTTAGGAATGTATGTACATTAGCAAATTGTATATCTTTTTTGAATGTTTAACTTACAATCATACTCAACATGCATCGATTTAAATATATTACTTTTTGTTCTTCTCAAAATAACACAGAACAATGAAGTGTGTTATTTACTGTATTACGTAATGTACCGGTGACAGTTCTGTACAAATCGCATAAATAAGTGGCTTTAATGTTCTATGTAGTTTATAGTTTCGACGTCTTTTGAACCTCTGGTAACTTTTAGTTTTATGTTTGGAGAAATGACGGATAGGTCAATGACCTTAGATTTTATTTCTGACTTAATACATGTAATTATAAAAGAACACACTGAGTTTAATAAAACATTTCATTGTGCTGTATAACTTTGACTTTACAAACCAATGAGTTATGAGTGTTAAATACATTCGATGTTTGTATTTTAGGCATCTAAAGAAAATTTCTTAACTTAAACGACAACCGAAACACTGAAATTTTAATAGAAATCTACTATTTGAAATGAATGAAGAAACTGAGACATTCTCATTCGACCGGTGAATGTTTTTCTTATTTTTTTTTAAAGGAAATAGCTATTTCATTCTCAAGAGTTAGTAAGTTGTACCAACGACGTAGCCTATTTTATAAAAATGATTCTTACTAAGTGATAAAACGTGAAAATTTGTATGATGAATAAATATATTATGTTCTAGAACAATGTATTTCCTGCTATACAAGTAAATTATATAGATATTTTACATCGGATCACGTATCTCACACGGGCCAACAACATACATTTATGTATGGAAAAAAAATAGAGTTCGTATTAAGACGACCGTAGGGAGTCTTATCGAACTCTTACCCATACTGCAAATCGGCTCTTACAACTCGATATCAGATAAAAATATAGAAAGTGTCACCTCTTTAATTAAGCAGAACACTATTTTTCCCCAGCAGTCACGTACAAACAAGGATAGGGTCCAATTACTTACTCTGACATGTAAAACAATGAGTTTTCAACAATACCTAGGATTGTTAATGCAATTTATTCCTGTCATATGAAACAAAATAATGTTTTGCTTACTTTTTCTAGAAAATATAAACAGTCAGCAATTAATAATTGACATTTTTCTTAGAGTTAAAAGGATATCAAAAAGTTACTGTGTTCTCATTTGTCTCTGCGAGCTGTGCTCCACGTGCATTATCTATGTAATAAATTTGAATGTATCCTCACATTGCTACAGTGTTATCAGCCTTTTTAGAAACACCTGACCTGGCTAATTAAAATATGCCAATCACAATTTTCACTATCAGCACTGGTTTCTTCATGAAAAAGCGGCTACACTAAATAACTGCAAATCGGCTCTTACTCGACAGTAATTAGTGTAGCCACTTTTTCATGAAGAGACCAGTGCTGATAATTGTGATTGGCATATTTTAATTAGCCAGGTCAGGTGTTTCTAAAAAGGCTGATAACACTGATGCAATTTGAGTATATATTCAAATTTATTACATAGATAATACACGTGGATTTGGTAGAGACAAATGATTACATAGTAACATAAAAATGTTTATGACTGTTTAAAGTAAGTTTCATATAATAGGAATGAACTGCATTAATAATCCAAGATATTATGAAGATGTGAATAAAATAATTACTTTGATTACATTGCTACAGTTAGGTAATTTGACCCGATCCACCTGTAGACTTAAGGAAACATGTTTGTACGTGACTGCTGGGGAAAAACAATGTTATGCTTAATTAAAGAGGTGACACTTTCTATATTTTTATCTGATATCGAGTTGTAAGAGCCGATTTGCAGTTATATGGGTAAGAGTTCGATAAGACTCCCTACGGTCGTCTTAATACGAACTCTTACCCATACTTACTGCTGAGTAAGAGCCGATTTGCAGTTATAATTATTTCGTGGTTTATTGTCAAATATGATACTAAATACAGTCAACACTATTATTTGTGACAATATATACCTCCTGTTATGGAAAAAAATCACTTTTACACTAAATTGTGTGCTGAAGAACAAGTAAAATGTGTTTTGCTACACCTGTTCAGACTATGATTTGCAACACTTACCACTTTTCATAAATGTAGCCAAATATATGTCATTATCACGAACTTGTAACTGTTTTACGTCATTTATGTGAGCTTCTAAATCTTTCTTTGGTAAGAAGTTCAGTGCCTTTGAACTGAAATAACGAGTCAGGCTGATATTAACTTACTAGATACAGAATAACGAGTTGTGTTAATTGTAAAAATTAAACAGCACGGAATATACATCCCTTTTTAAAATGAACATTATATTTAATAAAACACAATAAATCGAACGTGAAAGGCAGGTAAATTTGTGAAACAGGGCAGTTAGAAATATAATAACTTTTATGCGAGGTCTAATCAAGATAATCATCAAAAGGTCATTCTATACACTGTATCGACAAAGGGAGTCATGTGACCTAACCCAGCGTTTATCATTACATTTAAACTTGATACACATTTTTAGCAGTCAACAAAAGTAATTTTATGCATGAAGTCTTATAAAAAATAGACACTTCAAAAATAATTATTAAACTTAAAAATAAAAATAATTAATTGATCAGTTATACACATCAGAGTAATTGCTTTTTCAGCTGAAGCTAAAATTAAAAAAAAAATGTTACTTTATTAAAAGTTATTATAGTGTATTCTAACACGACCCGTATTTTTTTATTATTTAACATAGAAGAACCGACAGTGTGTGTTATTTAAGAAATAATGTATCCCAAACAGTGATTTTATCGCTCTATAACATCACTGTTTGGAGTTCGGATGCGACGAATTATATCAAGAGGGCGTAGCAATGTTATCAAGCGATACAATCACTGATTTGGATATATTATTTCGATTCTAACACGACATCAACAAATAAATGTTGCCGTCCTTGATAGTTTAGCAAAATTGCGCCTGATTTGTTTCCGTACTTATTTTCAGCGCGTCGGATTATTAATGGTTACGTCAAGTGTATAATGATAAGTCACATGTCTAAATATAGAACGTCAAACTGTGCATCTGTTGCATAATAACACACATTTTCTGTTCTTCTATGTTCAATGGGAAAAATTTCGGGTCGTGTTAGAATATTCTATAAAGTCACTGTTTGACGTTCTATGTTTAGATATGTGACGTAATCAATATACACGTGACGTAGCCACTGAAAATGTGACGCGCTGAAAATAAGTACGGAAACTAATCAGGCGCAATTTTGCTTAATATCAGGTACAGCAACATTTATTTGTTGATGTCGTATTAGAATCGAAATAATATATCAGTGATTGTATCGCTTGATAACATCACTGTTTGTCGTTCGGATGCGCATCATTATATCACTCGGGCTACGCCCTCGTGATATAATTCGTTGCATCTGAACTCCAAACAGTGATGTTATTCAGCGATAAAATCACTGTTTGGGATATATTATTTCTTAAAAAATAAGATAAATTCTGTCAATACCCACAACATAATAATACCATAATAACAAATTTATGTTGATGGTCCTGTAAAAGTTAAATTTAAAAATTAACTGTGATTACTTTAAATAAGACCATTTTGTCTTTGGAAGGATTCTGGTGATCGTTTTAACATGCACTGTTAATTATTATGTATTATACAAGTATGTCATTATAACACTCACCTGTAATTGATTCCGTCCGCGAATATGTATTCTTCCTTACGTCCATTAGGTAGTTCTGTGGTAATCTTTATCATTGTAAGTTTTCCGCCCACTAAAATGTCTTTTATCTGTGGTTTTTATAGGAAAAAAATCTTAATAAAGTGTGATCCTTGTAAGCATAAATCACAGCAAAATTACATAAAAAATACATAAAAATTACAGACTCAGTTTGAATAGGTGTGTGCATTAGGAATTATGAATAAGTGCAACCTCCCTTACGCCCTCTAGCACCGGGTTTAACACGGTATTTTGACACTTATAACAGGAAATTCCGACGTTCAATATTGCAATGAAATAGAAAAAATAAAAAATGCAATTATAATTGAACGAGATAATTGCTACATTCACGAAATCACACTTTATCAAGTATCAAACTGATATTATTTTAAATGTTGACTTGAAACATAGTATAAAATATATAACAAGAAATACGATATATAACTATATATATAATTATATAGTACGTTGTTTGATTACAGCAAAAAGATAGCTTTAAAATTGTCTTTTGAGATTATGGCATTATTGTTATAAATTTTCATTAAACTCAAAATTATATATGAAACTTACCCTATTTAATTGAATAAATGCCCTTGAACTCAAAGTTATATCGTCAAGTTAAAATAATATTCTTAAATATTTATAGGTGGTTGAATATATCAAACGTGTTTGACTTTATTTATACATGTTTAACTGATAAATATGCGGACTTTATTTCATATCAACGTTGAAGATAAACGTTATGCTGCATTTGAAGGTTATAACGATATAACATGTATGTATGAGTGTATGTGTCAAGTTAAGATGTAAATATCGTGTTGGCAAACAGATCTCCAGAAGGAATTATATAAAAGCTGTAGTCGTATCTCGCGGCTACGTTGCCCCGTTCTTCACTTCAGTGTTGTTATGTTTTTCTGGTCTTTCGGGATCATTGAGTCCAGCACTTTTAAGTGTTGAGAATTGAGTACCGCTCAAACCGGAGCTAGAGGGCGTGAGGGATGTTGCACTTATTCATTATCCCTCATGTACAGACTCAATCAAACCGAGTCTGCAATTTTCATGTAATTTTGTTGTGATTTATGCTTCCGAGGGATCACTTTGTTTCCAGATTTTTATGATACGTCAGATCATATGGTCAATACAGACTTTAATATTTACCGGAAGCAAATGTGTTGTAAACGGTAGTTTTGCTATGATTGGCATATGGTCAAAGTTGAGTCGTTGTCGTCTATCACTATGTTCGGATTCCGACTATTCGAAGTCATCGTTTATTCGAAGTAAATATTCAGTCCCAGTACTACGAATTATCGGGGTCGGACTTAATATAATAAATCAATATTCCTACGATGAATGCAAAATATTATAAAAGGGTGAACAGTTGTTTTAATACTATTTGATAATACCAGATACTTGTCAGTTTCACAATAATTTTTATGTAAACGAAACTTGCTGACATACTAGGGAGACCATCAACCGGACACTGTTTGAAAATATTTCCATGCAGATTTCATAATTTTCCTGCTAGAGATCAGAACATTTGACACAGCTCAGCAAGGTTCTTCTCCTAATTAATAAACAAGTTTGTTTATTTCTAATAAATACTCCAAAATGAATCATTATTTGCATAAAACATGAAAATTATTTCTTGAATTTGCAAATATTTTTTATTTCCTTTAAATAGCATTTTTCTCAAGGTTGATTGTTTTGAAACAATTTGGCTCATCATGAGGCATGCGACTTCAAAACAATATCGTTCCAAACAAGATCGTCTACTTATTATGTCTTTGATCAAATATTATTCAATCTTAAAAGCAAGTCACATTTTTATTAGAATTTTGAAACACGATATTGGAGGAAATAAAAGTATGTATCTACCTATTTATCCATTAGTACAATAATAACATGTCTTACCATTCTTATTTCCCTTTAATGGAAAACTCAAATTTAGGTAATTGATTATTTTCTCTTAAATATTAAGATTAAGGTTATAAATAGCAATGCAAAGCTTGTTTGCCTAAAGGTACGGTATATTCTCTATTTCTTGTGCATTTATTGTTGAATTCACGAAAGTGGACACATGTTGATATATAGGCATACATATTTAATTCATTTTGGAAATTCATTTGTTAAAGAACTTGTGTACCACAGACAAGACAGTAATAAGATAAAAATCAAAGTTCAAAATCAAGGTTTATCTGTATCTTTCACAATATGTCATTATGACAAAAATAATACATGCACTTTAAGTACAAACTAATGCATTTATGTACCATAATAATATTTACGATCATTAGATACTTATATATCATGAGAAATTGTATTTACAGATATAGCGTTCGTAACGGATTTTACCAGATTTAATGTTGTTTTGCTATTCTTAGAAGACATTAATTTACTAAATTTTGTGCACGTTGCAATGTGCCTCTGCCAAGATTTTTTTATTTTAGATCTCTGTATATTTGATTACATAAAGCAACATGATATTCATATTCAATTAAGTTTTAGCAACATATTTTACAACTTCCAGTCATTCTGTCAGCATTCTATATCTACTGTTTCTACCTTAACAAGAGCCACCGTATTTATTACGCATTTATATATATATATATATATACGCATTTATATATATGCACAATTGTTGTATACATACACACCAATAAATATATATGGTCACTTAATGCACAAATCAGTGAAAATTCAGTAATTTAACATTCAAGGTCAAGGTCATAAAAGAGCCAAAGTCAATTTGAGTTTGATAAACATGAAGGTCTTGTACTTAAGAAATGAAGTCAATCCATTCAATAATAGCAAAGTTACAGCCATAAAAATGAAAATTTCAATAACTTGATCTTCAAAGTCAAGGTCATTTATAAGTGAAGGTCAAGGTCTGTCTGGTTATTTTAAAGGGCTATCCTTGAAGATTATTATGTTAAAGTTTGAACACAATCCATTCAAAAATAACAAAGTTACAGCCAATAATAGCCAAAAAAATGAAAAATGGTAATTAAAAAAATATACAGATTTTTTTTTACTTTAATAATAACAAACTTCATATATGAAATCAGATTTTGTGAAAGGGCGACAGCAACTTCTAGGTCATAATAAAAGCCGATCATTCCGATCGGTATGAGGGTGCTTGATTATTAATTAAGAATGAAATGTCGCGATATGTTACACTGAATAGCGAACTGGAGAATTTCGCAATGCAAACATTTTCAAATCCGTCAATAAATCGCGCTCTTCGGGGTTATTTATTTATCATTTTGAAACAGTGAAATTACCAGTTTTATATCACTGATATATTTCTATAAACCACCGAAAAGCATGTAATAAATTATCAACTTTGAAACATTTTATTTAATTTGTTATCCGTGTTTAGTAAAGATGGCGAGGAATTGTTCAATGTTACAAATTAGATTTAATGAATTATTCAATTGATTGATAATTTAAAAAATGATAAAGAAAAATACAAATGTACATGTACATGGTTTAAGAATAAACAATATTATATATTGAAAGATAAACCATAATTTACTGACTTTTTTCCAGTTACTTATAATCGTCGGTCAATATGACAATCGAATTCTTAAAATTTATTTTACAATTTTAATAAAAAAAGAGTAGTAAAAACTCAGTATTGAAATAGCACATAAAACACAAAAAAGAAAAGAAAACAATATTCATAAAATTTGTATTTTTTTTAAAATTAATAGATATTACAATTATTGTATAATAAACAATTATGCTCAACATGATCAACATGGTAATATAACCAGTGTCATATTTTTACTAAGTGTGAACAGATACCTTAAGAGGGGGTCTTCGCTAATAGCGATAACATAATAAGGGACAATTACAAGGTGCCAGGTACGTGTTGATCATGCGTTACACATATGGATTATACATGTAAATGATTGCATACATGTATATCCGTTGCTATTAATAACCACGATCATAAAGAAATAACAAGTAATATTCTAATCTCTAGCATGCCAATCAAAGTTCAAGGTAAGACAAGGGGAGATAATGTCGCCACTACTTTTTTCTCTGTTCGTAGAAGACCTAGAATTATTTTTACAAGATAACATTAGTTCTGGACTTGATATAGAAGAAATTATCTTACTTTTACTATTATTTGCTGATGATATGGTTGTATTAGGAAAATCGCCTCAAGAATTACAAATGCATTTAGATAAATTATATGAATATTGTAAAAGTTGGGGATTAGAAGTAAATTTAGATAAAACTAAAATTGTTGTATTTAGGAAAAGAGGCGGTTTACTAGGAAATGAGTTTTGGACATATGATGGTAATGATATTGAAGTAGTAAATGATTTTAATTATCTAGGAACAGTTTTCAATTACACCGGAAATTTTACTTTAAATCAGGAATACATTGTAGGTAAAGCTTTAAAGGCGCTTAATGTTTTGCTTTTAAATTGTAAAAAGTATAGTTTTAAACCAAAGTTATTATGTCAGCTATTTGATTCTTTTGTTGGCTCAATTTTGAGTTATTCGTCAGAAATATGGGGATTTACAAAATCAAAACAAATTGAAAGAATACATTTAAAATTTTGTAAAAATATGTTGTCAGTAAGAAATACTACCTGTACTGTTAGTGTATATGGAGAGTTGGGAAGATATCCTTTGTTCATATCCCGTTATGTACGCATTGTTAAATATTGGTTTAAGTTGCTGCACACAGACAATATTATTTTACGCTCAGTTTACCAGCTATCATTAAATGATTGTAATAAAGGATTATGTAACTGGGTAGCCTATGTTAAAAAGCTTTTGTGTGACTATGGTTTTCAGATGTTTGGAATAACCCACATGATATTGTATTTAAAAACTTTATCCCGATATTTAGACAACGAATAATTGATTGTTTTATACAGGGGTGGCATGTATCTAAAGAAACAAGTTCTGTATTGGAATTATATAATGTGTGTAAAATTAGTTTTTGTTACGAAAATTATTTAGATATATTGCCTGATCATTTGAGACGACTTATTACTAGATTAAGAACTTCTGCACACAGCTTAAGAATACAAACTGGTAGATATGCCAGAAATAGAATACAAAGAAATGAACGGTATTGTCAATGTTGTTCTTTAAGAGACTTAGAAGATGAATTTCATTTTGTTCTTATATGTCCATGTTATACAAGTATTCGTACCCTTTATATTAAAAGATATTATTTTGTTAACCCAAGTATGTACAAATTTATTGCATTGCTGCAAAGTATTAATAGAAATGAGCTATGTAAATTAGCACTATATTACAAAAATGCTATGACTATTAGAACTACAGTGTTAAATAATGTTCAATGATAGATAAAAATTTAGTTTATTAAAAATAAAGTTTAATGATAGATTAAAAATTAGTTTTGATATTGATTTTTCTTCTTAAATATGTTCATCCTCACTTAACTGAGGCTTAATAACAAATATCTGAACAATGACAATTGTTACAATTACAATTATTAATCTCTTTATATTATTTATTGTATTAATTTCTTTATATTGATTGCACTGAAAATTACATGTTACTCAAATATTATTATGTTATGTATATGATGATGTACTATGTACAAATCAGAAATAAAAGATCTGTTCTGTTCTGTTCTGTTCATGTAAATGATTGCATACATGTATATCCGTTGCTATTAATAACCACGATCATAAAGAAATAACAAGTAATATTCTAATCTCTAGCATGCCAATCAAAGTTCATAATGAACAATGTCTTTCGTCCGCTCATTCATAAGTGATATACATTTCTGGTAGTTTATAATCATATGTGTACTAGTTCATCTTCACTTGCTGCATTTCTTGCTTGGACGCCCTTTGATGCTTTGCATCAATGCTTTTCTTGTATTATAATATTGTTTAAGGCATTTTACAGATTCAACAGGGAACAACACTTGCTGCTTTTGGTGTTTGAGATCACGTTATTTTTTAGCTCGACTATTCGATAAGAATAAGAAGAGCTATTGCAGTCACCCGAGCGTCGGCGTCGGCGTAACCACTTATGTTAAAGTTTTTGTAATAGTTCAAATATTTTCAAAATCCATTGACATATGGCTTTGAAACTTTGCACACTTGTTCACCATCATGACCCAAACCTGTAGACAGGAGGAGGTAACTGTATCAAGCATTTTGACAGAATTATGCCCCTTTTTCGACTTAGAATTTATGTTAAAGTTTTTGTAATAGTTCAAATATTTTCAAAGTCCATTGACATATGGCTTTGAAACTTTGCACACTTGTTGACCATCATGACCCCAACCTGTAGACAGGAGGAGGTAACTCTATCAAGCATTTTGACAGAATTATGCCCCTTTTTTCGATTTTAGAATTTACGTTTAAGTTTTTTTAATAGTTCAAATATTTTCAAAGTCCATTGACATATGGCTTTGAAACTTTGCACACTTGTTCACCATCATGACCCCAACCTGTAAACAGGAGGAGGTAACTGTATCAAGCATTTTTTTTACTATCAAGCACTAAGAATAGTCGAGCGTTGCTGTCCTACCGACAGCTCTTGTTTCTATGATGATAACAAATGAAATTATTCAGGGATAGCGCGAACGCAGTCCCCACACCAATAAATTGCGTACCCGAGTAACCCACATTTGGGGCTATCGCAGGCGTCAGCCCAACCGAAGTGCAATGGAAGGGCCTCTTTCTGGGGAAACCGCCTTGCAGATCACGGTGTTCCCTGTACCAGGTAAGTATGAGATCTACACATTTTCCAAAGACTTTATACGACCACACAAAATAAAACGTTACAGCTATTCGTTTATCATATACATACACTTGATATCAAGTACATTAATTATACTGATTCTTTGCCTATTTTTATTATAATATTACTGAAATCTCTACAATTTCTTCTATTTAAGTTTTGATATAAATTCAGTACATGCAATTGTAATTTCACAATTTTCAAAGAAATAGAAGAATTTTCATCCAATTTATGCGCTGTTAACATTTTCTTTTTATTCCGTGTTTGTTCTAAAAATAGACTGACTACTAAGGCAAGTTACTCTTGTAAAGACTAATAATCAAGTCAAACCCTAGTTACCTTCAAAGGTCGTAGTACCAAACTCCTCGCAGCGGTTACTTCCCCTGATCTGTACAGTAACCACTGCCACCACAAGTAAATTCGGTCGAATATAGCCGGATATATTTTTTTCACTTTTAATTTTAAAATAGAATACTTTATATCATTTTAGTTTTCTTTCGTTAAATAGTTATGCTTAATGTACAAGAAAGTAAAAAAATTATACGTATAAAAATTATTTTGTAAACATAACGAAAGATATTTTCACTGTGACACCGTATGCATAGTAACAATCAGTAAACAATGGCAGAATATAAACAGTTATTGAACGATTGCACAAAAAGATTTGATCCGGCACTTGTTTTAAAGTGATAACAAATTGTGTGTCTTGAACTTATTTTGTCTGGTAAAGATGTAATTATAAATCTGCCAGTTTGATATGGGATCCTTGGCGTTCTGAAACTGGCCGCCATGTTTTTGTCACATGATACAACTATCATCACGTGATTTCAGTGGTGGCAGTGGTTAAAGTAGCAAAGCGTGACGTAACCGCTGTGAGGAGTTTGTCGTAGTACATGTATCGCCGCGCCGGGCGGGGTTTACTTTTTCTAACAAAGAAATGTTTGAACAAATCTTAACGTTTCCTTTTTATAAATTTAATCGGTCTGTCTTGTCAAATTAGTTTTGTCAAAGTATGAATCCTTTCCATATCCTATATATATACACACATTTTTACATAAACGCATATATATAGAAGTAAAAAAAAAGTCAAGCTAATATCGTGAGAGCTAAGTCGTATTTCTATTTTTCTCATATTGGTTCAAAAATTGCTTTCCAATTTTGGCAGTGCCAAAAATCATTAACTGCATGCCAAAAATCGTTCTACAAATCTTGTATAAATTACTCCTTTAAATGAAAACAATTTTAATTGGTATCATAAAACAATCTTATATCATTAAGTCCTAAATGATCAAGTATAGAATTCATTATTTTTGCTCCCCCCCCCCCCCCCCCAATGCACTGGTAATGTTGTTACATTGGTCTTTATATATTTATATACATTTATATGATGTATAGAGAAGTCAATGCTTGTAAAAAACGAATTGTTATTATAGCTTTTAGATTAGGTTATAGCTTTTAGATTAGTTATTTCTTAAAGAGAAATTTTACATTTCCAATAATTGCTATATTTTATTTCTCTTTTTGTATCGATATCTGTAAGTCCTTGTAAGGCGCGTAAGAAAAATACACAGTGTTTTTAAAAGCTAAAGTATCATTGTTTTATGTACATCTCTTAAATATTTATATATCCTTTCTTTGTATTCAAAGTGTGTATTTAAACGAAAGTTCTGTTTCAATCAAATTCTCCTCAATCCATTTATCCACTTGCTCATTTTGTTCAAGGGTGAAGTGATTTTTCCAGTCACCTACTTCACCTGAAAAAAATGTTTGAATGAGGATTTAACCAATTCTTGTAATGTTTTCTGTCAGAATGAACAAAACTAACCAAAAATGCTAGTGTGCTGCCTTCAACTCTTTCCAATGATAAACGTGAATCTCCAAGCCATCGTACATTAAGCTTTTCTGGAAGCTCTCACTTAGTATACTTGATTTTACACCAGTCCTACAGCAGACGGGAATATTTTAATTAAAGAATATTGCATGTTTAAGGTCAAGAAAAAAAAAACACGAAAAAATCACAGTAACAAGCGACACAGCAATATAATTTGAAGAGTACTAAGTGAAATTATATATATGTACATAATTATGCAAAGAAAACAATTTTCAAACATCGAAGAATATGTAAAATATGTACTGCAAATATTTGTGCATATTATATGTAATCATTAAAATTTATGCATTCTTTTCTTATTGTATAATTTGACTTAAACTTTACAGAAAATAAAACTTTTATTACCTCCCTTTATTTACATGAAATGTTAAATTCGGTAATATTTTTACAAATAATGCTTTAAATTGGAACCTACAATTTTGATAAATCTTAATAAGAGCATCATATTTATGATTTAAAACTATAGAAAAATTGTGTTACAGGTTCTTTAACTTACATGTAACTTGGATACAATTGTATTTAAAGAAAACCAAAAAAGAAAAACAAAAATGATTGTTTATTATCAAATTTTAATGTATCAACTAATAAAATGATTTTATTATAAAAAAGCAACCAATGACGACCAAAAAGCATTATGAAAAAAATAAAGAAACAAATTTTGATGTAGTTTGTCTAAACAGCAATGATTGATACCTAATCTATACAAACATGGTCTTCCTGCTTTAATCATGAACTCCTCGGGCAACTTCACTTCTGCATCAGCTTTTTTCATGTTTTTAAATCTACATGCTTCAGCTATCTCTTTGATAACATCACCAGTTTGTCCCGTTCCAAGAAATGTGTCCATTTTCTTTATTTCCCGGACGGAATTCTATTAAAAAATCAGATTATAATTTTGTGTATAAGTTGTATTTAAGTAGCATGGATGCATTATAAAAGGAAAACTTACAGACAATTAGCTTCACTCTGTTGATTTTTTATATAAATAAAGGAATAATTAATCAAAGTAAAATCTGTCTCCATGGTTTGATGGTAGCACAGTTTGAACGGAATTCCTTGCTTGTTACTACACGGTTTCGGTTAGGTCTTTATTATGCGGTATTTTGTCATGGCTATAAGAGGCAAATAAAAAAAATGAATACTTACATTGAATATGTGTTTTATCTTTTTCATTTGTGACTTCAAAATGTTTTTGTTCTTCACACTGTGTAACACCAAATAGCATATTTAAAGAACTTACTTAGTTCTATAATTGCAATTTATATTAACCTATCAAACCAGATTTCCTAGTAAATTTACAGGAATATATTTTAATATACCTCCTTTAAGTCTTCATAGTATATGTTAAGTATTTGGTCTGGATGTTTCTTTGAAAATCTCTCCCATTCTTTCACGTATTTGAACCATGGGTAGAAAAAATCTGAAAAGAATAAAGTCACATCATCTACAGAGTTTTGTTCTAAATTGTTCTTAATATATTAATATAAAATATGCGGGTTTTGAAAAAGGATCAAAAAGATATAATAAGTCGATAATGCCCGAGTGGTTAAGGTCGATTACTTCAAACAACTAGGCCCTCATCTCTGTGTGTTCGAATCAAGCTCACGACTTAGAATTTTTTTTATGCTCGGAAACTATTCAATTAATTAACGCACTGTCCGTGGTACAACTCACGTGTCCGTTGTGCCTGAAATAATACACAAAGTGGTTCATGAGGCCTTCTTCTTCCACTAATAAAGCTGGTAAATCATAATTATGATCTTTACAGTGTTGGCGCGACGTTAAACAAAAACTTAACAGAAATCAAACCTACATGTGCCATAGTCACCAATCATCAAGGGAAGGAACTCTTGGAAACTTAATTGAAAGAGTTCACCAGCCATTATCTTCATGTGATAATAGCAAGATACAATTACATCTTTTGGGTTTCGCATAACATGAACTATTTTCACTCCTTTATTGAATACTCCCTTCGGTGTAAGTTTGCACGGGTAATGGCAGTTCAGGATCCTTGGTGATGTAATATTTCCGATAAGTTCTGGTGACTGAAAGTCCAATGTTGCTGATTGTTTTGTTTTCGTATCGTACGTCGATCTCCCATTTTTCAACATACCCAAAATTTCCCATACCCAGTGTGTTCCTAGAAGTATAAGAGTTTATCACATAAACCGCAGTGCATGAGTGTAATAAATAGAGGATATTGAATGAGTGTAAGTTCAATGCACGAGTTGAATAAAATTATATTATGCGAGCCTCTGGCGAGCATAATATTATTTTATTCAACGAGTGCAATAAATTCAGTAATGAACTTACACGAATCTAATATTCTATTTATCACATACCCAAAATAAAGACCGTTTAATGTGAAATAAGTCATTTTTCATTGACGCGCCTATAGTATAACGCGTCTTTACACTATGTTTGTATAACGCTAATGGCGTAACGTCAATATATATGCACGGCCGTGCAATACCATTTTTACGGAGTCGCAAACTCGGAACGGGTGTGTTGATAAAGCCATTTAATTAATAAAAACGATATTACACTAGTGTAATGACGTCATATGCGCTAAGTTAAAGCGTGCAATTGTTAGCGTCACTCTATACGTCAATGGAAAATGACTCTTTTTCTTATTTAAATTATGTGATAAATAAAATATCATGTTCGTGTAGATTCAATACCTAATTAAATAAAACAATATTGTGCTCGCCAGAGGCTCGCATATTATGATTTTATTCAACACGTTCAATAAATTTAGTATTAAACCTACACTCATTTAATATCCTCTATATAAAGAAAACATGATAACTGTATCAAGCTATCATTTTGCAAAACTTAAACCACATTTACTGAATTAAGTTTATAACATCCAGGTGTTTCGCAAACCTTCCGAAAACTATAATAAACCAAAAAAATCCGTTCTTTATCTTGACCTAAATATTCCAAATAAACTCAAAACTGAAATCTTGCAGAGAACATTCATTATAATAAATAAATGAATACATTTTAACTATTTACAAAACATTATTTTATCACAACAATACTTTATATTTTGTAAAGCCTATAAAAGTTCATTTACTCACGCAAAAAGAGCAAAAACAAAATATTACCGTTTTTCGGAAAGGTCGCCAGATAAACATCATTTTCTCGAATATCAAGGTTAAGTATATTTTCAATTTGCGTTTTTAGGTCTTTATCAGGCACTAAATTCAAAATCAACTCACTGACTCACTGAAATTAAGCAAGATAAAACTAGATTTGCCTGCAAAACAGTATAAGCATATCCAGTAACGCCGGAATGTGAAATAAACGCACGATTCGTGCAAAAGTAAAGCTGAATTGTGCAATAAATGGCTGAAACCTGGCAGGATTTCCAACATGGTTAGTAAACTGGTCAATACGACCTTTATTTAACTAAACTAAAAAAGGGAATAGCCGCATACGGCTGCGAAGACTTTAATATGTTTATACCTCATCAAGATTATTTCGAAATTGCTCACTGGTGAAAATGTTGGCTTGATCGTCGTTTTGAGTGTGATTTTTAGCAGCCGTATGCGGCTATTCCTTTTTTTTTCAATTTGCTTAATAAAAAATATTGTTGCCAGTTTACTTACCGCGTTGGAAATCCTGTCAGGTATCCGTCATTTATTGCACAATTCTGCGTTACATTTTGCACGAATCGTGCGTTAGCTTCACATTCCGGCGTTACTAGACACACACGGTATAAATATACAATATTGATTTATCTATTATGATATTTATTCCATATGTTCAATTTTGTTTGCAGGATTTTCTCGATTCAACATTTGTGTTGACATTTACAACACATTATCTACAATGTACTTATATTGCGTTAAAAACTTTAAAGCAAACTAAACAAACATACTGATCAATCATTAATTAATGTGGTGGAAATCTCACAAATGTTTTAATTTACCGTTTTGTTAAAAAACAAACTCATATGTAAGAAAAAGGTTACTTGAGCGATCATTGACTCTTGATATATTATATAAATGATTAAAAAATATCACCCACTTACTCATAAAGTAATCCAGATTCATATATGTATTTATATGTCTTTCCGTCGGGCAATTCCACACTGATTTTTGACATATTTCCTGAATCAACGTGTCTTCACAGACACTATATATCTACTGTAAACTTCGCAATCTCGAACAACGGCCTTGGACTAAATACATCATGAGATAGCTGCATGTGTTGCCAAAAAATGCGCGTTCGTTAGCCACAAGTGTACTATATAAAGTTACATGATATCTTTTTTAATTTATATAATTTCATTAAACATTTACAAGACCTGTATGACTAACAATGTTTACAAAAGCTTGACTCATATTGTCCCAGAAATTATTGACGTATTTAATGTCTCAAAAAACTTTTTTGTCTATTTTTTGGTGCTATGTTTATAGATTCCATCACATATTTACACTGCTGGAAATACCTTTAAAATATATGTTCTTTTTTGTCACCTCGGGTAAATAGAGTTATATTTCCAAGTTTTATGCAACTTTTTTCATTACAAAACAGATTTACAGTTCCAGTCCTTAATTGATGCAAAGAGGACTGATTTCTTATGCTTGATGCTTTTCTACAAACTCTTATTCATGGGTAATAAATAAGTACCCTGATTGCGTAGAAGGAATGGGTAACTATTTGTATATTGGTTGTTAGATCACTTTCTATCATGATTTTATTATCTAGCTTTCTGTCAGTTATCAAAGGATAATAGTTTATGAAATTTGAATGATGTTTTAAAGTTACTAAGAAATTGTGTTTTCACGCATTTTTATGCTCTGTAACACCGCACTTTGGGGTCAAACGCACTTTTGGGTCCGACCCCAAAGTGCGTTACACTTCGCATCGCACTTTGGGGTCCAACGCACTTTGGGGTCAAAATCGAGAAATTGACACCAAAGTGCGTAAATATGCTACATATTAACGCACTTTGGGTTCCAGAGTCCTGAAGGTGTCAACTGAGTTCTGCTTAAATACTGAGTACTGATTTATTTTCGATCTGCGACGTTGAAATATTCGAAGTGGAGTTCAAGATGGCGGTCGATACTTTGTTTGATGCTCAAGTGATAAAAGTTTCATTAATTTTACCACTTGAAATATTTAAAAATAGTGTTCATATAACAAAGTACTCTAGTACATAAATTGTGAATGTATTTCTAAAATTAATAGATGCTGCGAAAAATATCATGTTTTGTCGATATTGAGCCCCATTTTAAATATGAAAGTTCTTCACTAACTGATCAAAATCATTTAAAATCCCATTGATTCTACTATAATTAAGGGCACATTTTTTGCGTCTATTTAATACCTTGATATTATTTAAATATGATGCATTTTAAATAAAATGCAGTTAATATTTTTTCAAAAGAACTATAAATATACTCTGTTGCAATGTTCTGGTGAAATATCAAGTTTCTCGATCGGATTATAGATAGTGATTTTTACAAATACATTATCAAGCTTATCGTCAGTCAAACTTAAGTTTTTTTTGTAAGCTCCGTAACAACCTTTCGCAAGAGGCTTTTTAAATGGGAAATCTTTCATACTTCTTTAGAAAGGGCAAACATGAATTTTATAATGTTTAAATAATGGTATCAAAGAAATGTAAGATGATTGTAACCTGAATAAACTAGTGATTAATGTGAAATAATTTGTCATAAAAGTAGCAAAATATAAACAATGTAGTATTGTTCTTTCATATAAAATACTAATTCACTATGACTGTACTTATTGCCAAAAATCAACAGATGAATAAGGTGCTTCAGGTAATTGGCCAATGATAACTTTTTGGATAATATAGAAGTAAATCAAAATTAAAAAGCTTTTAAGAAATATAAATAAAAGTATAATGGGCCTTTAAAACCTTATTTTTTAATCTCGGGGCGATGGACACCCCACCATCACCTCTAGACCCCTCAATGAGAATTTTACATTCTTATGAAGTTCCGCTCTTAATATGTGACTACTAAAATAGTTTTACTGCCTGTACGGACTTCTGCTTCTTAAGGCCGCATCTACACCTAGTCAAGTTTCTTAAATCTCACACTTAGATAAGCTAAATAAATGACCCTTTCAACATTTTATCAGGCACATTTCTTTTTCAATGAAATGTGTTATGTATTTAGATTTCCCAAGATTTATATCTTTGTCTTTGCTAAGAATATCATATTTCTGTAAATGTGTAAATAAATAAACGGGGAAATGATGCAATTACCTAAAAGCAATGAGGATAATGAAAGGTGTACATTTATTTAAAATAAATGGAAAATGTGAGAAAAAATATTTTGAGCTTATTAATTGATACAAATTCTTTACTAGTACTTGATGAAAGTTCTTCGCTAAATGATGAAGATCATTTAAATTACATTTTGATTCTACTATAATTCAGCGCACATGTTTTGCGTCTATTCAATATTATGTTTTATTGTTATGCTTCCGATCCTTAAAGATCGTTCAGCACGACATTATTGTTGTGCTTGTGCTTATTTAATTCTTTCTATTCGGCTATTTTCTTGCTGGGTGGTTCCAGTATTCCTTACTTGAATACTGTTGAATCACCCTTAGGAAATGTGGCCTGCTTTTTAAATTTGTCTTTTGACGTCTTATCTGTGATATGCAGGCTTTGATCCCCTTTCAAAATTCCATTTTATTTAGTTCCGCCCATTGTTTTCTCGTTAAGGGCACACGCATGTTTTACTTGAGGACAATATGCCGCTTTTCATGGAATGGCACTTATGTGTCACATTGAAGGTTCCATGATTACCGCCTTATGAACACATCTGCGGATGTTTCTAAATCCTTGAACAGGCTCAATCAAACCGAGCCTGAAACATTTTCACTTGTGCCGTGTTTGACTTTCTTTAGGGATTCTTATTTTCTCTATTTTAACACCTTGAATTTTGTTTACCATTGGCTTTGACTACAATATATTATTTTAAACATAATGAAAATTCATTTTTATTGCTTCTTTTATGACCCCAAAGTGCGGTCGTTTGTCTGATGTTAAAAATGCATGTGTACATGTTTAACGCACTTTGGGGTCAAAATTGGACCCCAAAGTGCGTAACGCACTCTGGGGTCGGACCCCAAAGTGCGTTTGAACCCAAAGTGCGTTAAACAGGTACACATGCATTTTAAAACATCAGACAAACGACCGCACTTTGCACTCATGCGTGTGCCCTAAACGAGAAAACAATGGGCGGAACTAAATAAAATGGAATTTTGAAAGGGGATCAAAGCCTGCTTATCACATAATATATCTAAAAATTGTGTTCATATAACAAAGAACTCTAGTACATAAATTTTGGATGTATTCCTAAAATTAAAAGATGCTGCGAAAAATATCCCGTTCCGTCAGTCATTTACTTGATAACTTTTGGTGCCATATTGAGCCCCATTTAAAATATGATGGGGATGAAATAAAATGCAGTTAATTTTTGTTTTCCAAAGAACTATAAATATACTATTGCAATGTTCTGGTGAAATATCAAGTTTTTCAATCGGACTTTAAATAGTGATTTTTACAAATACATTATTAAGCTTATCAAAAAACTTAAAGTTTTTTTTATAAGCTCCGTAACAACCGTTCGCCAGAGGCTTTTTTAATGGGAAATCATACATACTTCTTTAGAAAGAGCAAACATGAATTAAAATAATGGTATCAGAGAATTGTAAGATGCTTGTTACCTGAATAAAGTAACGATAAATGTGAAATTATTTGTCATGAAAGTAGTCAAAACAATGTAGTATTTGACTTCCATATAAGATACTCATTCACTATAAAGGTACTCATCATTGTCTAAAAGTAACAGATGAAAAAGATGGTTCAGGTAATTGGTAAGATGTATTTTGTCAGTTTTTTTATATTATAAAAGAACATCAAAATGAAAAGCTTTAAAGAAAACAAACAAAAGCATAATGGGCCTTTAAAACGTTATTTTAACCCTCGGGGGGAATCGATACCCCACAATCCCCTCTATACCCGAGTGAGAATTTTACATTATTCTGATGCTTCTCTCTTAATGTGCGACTCCTTAAATAGTTTATGGTATTTTTAGTACTGTGTGAACGGACTACTACTTTAAGTCGCATCTACACCTAGTCAAGTTTCTTATATGTCACATTTAGCTAAATAAATGGCTCTTTCAACATATTATCAGACACCCTTTTACTGAAATGTCTTATTAAGATTTCACAGAATTTATACCTTTGTCTATGCTAAGACTATCATATTTTTATAAAATGTGAAAAAAAACCGGAAAAATGATGCAATTAGCTAAAAACAATGGAGTTAATGAAAAGTGTACATTCTTTAAAAATAAATGGAAAATTTGAGAAAAATATATTTTGAACTTAATAATTGATACAAATTCTTTATTTGATGAAAATTCTTCACATACTGATCAAGATCATTTAAATCCCTATAGATTCTAATATAATTTAGGGCACATGTTTTGCGTCTATTTAATACCTTGATTTTTGTTTACCACAACATATTATTTAAAACATAATAAAAATTAATTTTGTATGACCCCAAAGTGCGGTCGTTCGTCTGGTGTTAAAAAATGCATATGTACCTGTTTAACGCACTCTGGGCTCGAAATTGGACCCCAAAGTGCGCAATGCACTCTGGGGTCAGACCCCAAAATACATAACGCACTTTGGGGTCGAATCCCAAAGTGCGTTTGACCCTAAAGTGCAGTGTTACAAAGCCCAACGTACCGAATGATGATATTTTATCAAATTCATATATGTGAATATATAAAATAATGATAATGATAAAACAAGAACAATATTTGTTTAAATTCAAAATAATATTATATAACTGTCAATTTCATACCACATAACACATAATACAAAAGTCATTATACATAAGTCACAAGAAAAGCATTGATGCAAAGCTATCAATAGATTGACCGCCTGTCTCAATTTCATTGAAAATATAATCAAGAACAATGTGATAGGGTGTGTATCTAGTTCGAAGTCGTAAGTTGGTACATTTAGTTACTCCTCAAGGTGTCGCGACGATATTTTAATATTACATGTATTTACAACAAACAATAGCAGAACACTTTCATGATATGTAAAACCTACAGAAAATAAAAATATTGTATCACTCATACCAGTCTT